TACGTACTGTGCTCGACACCCGTCAGCGCAACAAGAATACGCGCAAGCTAGCATCCCCGCTGCCAGACATTGACACGATCCTCAGGAACGTGTCGAGTCATCCGTTCCGCTCCCTGCTGGACGGGAAAGACGCCTACGAGCAGATACGCGTAGTACCGGAGGATGTGCCGAAAACGCTGTTCGCCACTCCTGATGGTACCATGATAAGTCACGTTATGCAAATTGGAGACTGTAACGCAGGCGCGACGTACCAATTGATTATGAACCATATCTTTGGTCCTTACATAGGCGCCTTTATGGATGTGTATCTTGATGATATTGTGATATATTCAGACTCTGCTGAGGAACACGCCAAGCACGTAAGGATTGTGATTGATACACTGAGGGAAAATCACTTCTACCTTGGTGAAGACAAGATTCAGCTCTTTAAACCCGAGCTGACCATTCTCGGGCACGTCATTGACGACGAAGGAATCCGACTCGACCCCCACAAGGTCGACAAAATCTCCAACTGGAAGACGCCGACGTCGAAGGAACTGCTGATGCAGTTCATAGGGTCAGTAGGGTACCTGGCAGCAGGCTGTCAAGGGGTTAGGGTAGACATGCAGCACTTGTCGAAAATCGCCGCACTCACCACTAAGTGGTCGTGGTCTCCGACAGACCAACGTGCGTTCGATCTCGTGAAGGCCTGCGTGGAAGCGCATCGTGACATCAGTCGCAAAGCCCTGGACTTACCTTCCGCCATTAACGGGTCCCTACCCGTCAACCTGACCACTGATGCCTCTCTGACTGGAGCCAGTGGGATACTGTCCCAGGGAGCTGACCACCGTACCGCGAACGTAGTAGCATTCTGGTCAGGAAAATTTAATTCCGCCCAACAGAATTACCCTGTCCACGAGCAAGAATTGTTAGCAATCGTTGAGTCATTAAAACGATTCAGGCACTTACTGATTGGCTACCGTTTTCGCGTCTATACCGATCACAAGGGGTTGGAGTGGCTAGCCACACAAAGCCGGCTCTCCCCTCGTCAAGCACGATGGCTAGAAGCACTTAGCGAATTTGATTTCGAGTTAGTATACGTACCTGGGATAGAGAACACCTTTGCGGATGCCCTCTCCAGAATATATAGCCACGAACCTAAGGGAACTGTGAGATCAGCCAGCGAATATGTCAGCGTGGAAGAAGAGGACATACCTCGTAATCTATTACTGAATTTCGTCACGTCTCCCGTGTACACAGGAACACCGCTGTTCCTAGGTGCTACTGAAGCACGGAGATCAGCCAGGATTGCGTCCCAACGGACTGAAGTAGTGCGGCCCGACACGCCGGAACGAAAGCTGAGCAGGCAGACAGACGGCACAGGTGTTGTCCCCCGGTCTAAGGCGCCAAGGGCGGTAAACACTACCATTGGGAGCTCTGACCACAGGAATCCACTACAGGTCAGGCACTCAGGGAGCATAGCGAGCACTGACGCACCTACTGGAGACTCTGCACCATCCGCGAGCAAAACCCTGCCAATAGGGCCAGGTACCACTGCAACTGGCCAATATGGGCGGAGGTCCCCCAGCGCTGGGCCTACACCCCCCGCTAAGACTAGGAAAGTAATCCTGAGGGTTAGCGACCCTATACGATCACTAGAGGGCGGGAACAGTGAGAGCATGACCCAGTATGCAAGAAAATCCACCAAAGACGCACCAAAATCCACCAAAGACGCACCCGCTAGAGGACCAACGGTCAGCACTCAGGAAAGGGAACCAGTCACTACAACTGGTCAACCTGACCAGAGGACTGGCGTCCTACCACGGTGGAAGACCTGGGATGAAGGCAAGGCCTTTAATAGCGATGTCAACTCAATACACAAGGACCGACACGTACCCTGTGACGACGGTTCAATTGTCGAAGTTCGACCAACCATTGCTTCCGGAGAAGTCCGATCAGCAATACAGAAGGACCCACAAACCCACGTACCTGATGACGACAAATCAAACGGTAAAGTCCGTGACGACAACCCAATCGGTAAAGCCCGATCATTGGCACACAAGGACCAACAAACACACGTGACGCGTGACGTCACCCCTGACGAACCTCTCCCAGGCAAGGAACCGAGCAGAGGAACTGAGGCCGACAATATCCTAGAGGCCCCACTTCTCACCGAGGTTATCTCGCTGGGCAACCCACTTGTCGACGTCCACGAATGTCTGATAGGCCGCTACCTAGAAGACACGTTCTTTAGCAAGATCCTGGATAACCCCAGTGCGTTCAAGAACTTTGAAGTGAGTAATGGGCGTATCTACCTCAAGGATGCTCATAAACGATCCCTCTGCATCCCCGATATCACGATAAACAAGCGACGACTTCGTGAAATCGTCATCTCACACGCTCACTCAATACTGGCACATCTGGGACCAGCCAAGACCCTCCAGTACCTAAGAGAGAATGTGTGGTGGAAGTCTATCGCTGCCGATGTTCGCGACTTTTGTGAGTCGTGTCCCACGTGCCAGACAGCGAAACCTTCTAACCATCAGCCCTATGGTCAACTCGAGACTCTAGACGTACCGTCTAGACCCTGGGAGACCATAGGGATTGATTTCGTAGGTCCTCTGCCAGAGTCGAAGACCTTGAGCGGGACGTTCGACATGATATTGGTGGCCATAGACCACCTTACGTCTATGGTCCACCTGGCCGCCACGAAGCAGACGTACCGCGCCAGAGACGTCGCTGAGGTCATGTTTGACATGGTCTATAAACTCCACGGTATGCCCTCCCATATTGTTAGTGACAGGGATTCCCTCTTCACCAGCACCTTTTGGCAGCGCATCCACCAGCTTACAGGGGTGGAACTTCGCATGTCCACCTCCTTCCATCCTCAGTCTGACGGCGCCACCGAACGGGCGAATCGGACGATCACGCAGATGCTCCGCTCTCTTGTCTCTCCCCACCAGAAGGATTGGGCCTCCAAACTCCCAGCGATCGAGTTCGCTATCAACTCGGCCTGCTCCAGCGCTACTGGATATCCCCCCTTTGTCCTCAACTATGGACTACTTCCCCCGCCACTCATCTGGGACTCCAACTCGGAATACCCTGGAGTTAAGACCTTCCTCCAACGGATGAAGGACGCCACCATGGCTGCCCACGACGCGGTCATCGCTGCTCGCGTCAAGAGCACTACTACAGCCAACCGTAAGCGACGAGAGTCCCCATTCGTCGAAGGCGACCTCGTCTACCTCTCCACGGAAAACCTTTCCCTCCCCAAGGGACGTGCTCGAAAACTTTCTCCGAAGTTTGTCGGCCCGTTCAAAATCCTCAAGGACTACAAGAACAACTCCTTCCTGTTGGACCTTCCCTCCGAGCTCAAGCAGCGGGGAATTCATCCCGCGTTCCACGCTCACCTCCTCCGACTTCACGTCCCAAATGACGACAGGTGTTTCCCTGGTCGCCAGCTCCAACAAATTTCGGATATGGGCACGCCAGAGGAATGGTCAGTCTCCAAAGTCTCCGATCATCACGGAGTTGGAACTGACGCCATTTTTAAAGTGGACTACACGACTGGAGACCATGTATGGCTCCCTTACTACATGATATCTCGACTAGCGGCACTCGATCAGTATCTCGAGGCCCTGGGCGTTCCTGGGATCCGTCACCTTCCCAAGAAAATATCCCCGACTCAATCCAATATCCCATTCGCAACCGTTGAGTCATTCGATTCAGCTCGCGATATTGTTGATACACTAGCGAGCCGTCTACTCGAGGACCTTCCCCAGTTGGTTAGTCCAACTAGGTCTGCTAGCCCTGGTATAAAAGGGAGCCGTCCACTCCCTGCTTCCATGACTCCATCCCCCCCTCATCACGCCATGTCCTCTCACCCTGACCTCACCGCTGGTCCTGACTCCATGGTCATAGACGAGGCCCCACCCCAGGAGCCTGGGGAACTGCCTCCCACCTCTGCTCCCTCTCAACGTTCCCGCCGGAACCTCCGCCGGCAGAACTGGAACAGAGGGCGCGCTCCCCCTCGTCATCGTGAAACTCCTAACCTTGACGCCATGAGCGCATTCACTCGCTTCTTCCGTGCGGAGGCTGAGGCCAAAGAACTGGCCACCCGCAAAGAAGCTTACGCTTTTGAGCAGTCCATTAGGTCTGAGCGCCGAGATCGCCTCCTTGCGTCCGTTCCCCGCAACCTCACACTTGACAACCGCAGAACGACTCAGCGTGGTCGTGGTACTACCACCCGTCCCTTCTCCAGACCTACTCCCCCGTCTGCGGGTTGTTCCACCCCCAGGGTCACTCCCACTTCACCTCCTGTCCCCACTACCGCCTCCCAGCTTATCGCCTCTATCAACGAGGAAGCGGCATCGTCTCCCACCTCCGTTCCCCCTCCTTCCGCTGTTAATGTCCCTGAACGAGGTCGAGACGTCCTGGACATCATCGCGGCTGCCGAACGCCTTGACCTTGAACGCGAGGAAAGGCTTCGTGCTATCCCTGAGGGCGGATACTTTGGTAAGCTAGTGGTTCTTGGGCTCCTGACCCACAGCTTCCTCACCTTGGTTGTGTCACTAGCCGCTATCAGCGCCCTTGGCGCTTGACTTTCGAGAAGATCTCACTCCACAAAGAATTGTTGAGGTCCCCCGTGATGGTTGACCTAGAGGGCGTATGTTACGCTCGCTAAGACATATAAAAGACTACTATAGCTAATTTAGCCCCTAGCTACAGTAGTCACTACCTATTCCTTTTTCTTCCCTCTTTATCCCTACTCTTCCCGATCCCCTTAGTATAAAAGCCGGTTCTGTTCACTTAGATAGAGTAGTTGATCCTTCCTACCCAAGTAACAAGGGCATAGTTCAGACAGTTCTCTCTGTTGCTATTCCTAAGTCTACCTCAAGAAGTCAGCTTCCCGTGTGAACGTTCCTCGAACGCCACAAACGGTGACACAAAGGCGCCTGTTGCATTGTCGATATGATTGGACGGAGAGATTACCATTTTGGGACATGTATATGGTTACTTACTTTAGTCCGTTTATGTTCACACTTTGCCTCAACGTTTGAGCATAGACTCTAGAGGCCCATCTGGCTGCGCACCCAGACCTCCTGTATCACCACAGCGCATCAGTGCAGCATACCAGAAATTATGATAAGTCTCACCGACAACGGTTTTTCAGACGCAGATATCCGAGGACTCAAGCTCGCATTCTCACAAAGCTGTAGCACTGCCAACGAAGCGACCACCAGCTCGGGGTTCGGGACAGCTCTGGCGCCGGCGAACTACCGAACTGGCTTGCAGTTCAACAGGAGCTCAGGTACTCCAGAGCAACGGATCCCACCAGGTGGTATTTGGACGGGATCACCTGTAGACGTCAAAGGAAAAGGCGTCGCACGGAGCCTTGACTGGCATTTGGCTACCATGGCATCGAATGATAGGGAGCGAGAAGGTTCGTATCTAATCTGCTGCATCGGGCACTACTCTGTTGACCATTTCGCTTCTCGTACCCCTCTCCACTCACCCGAATTGCGGCGCTGTTGTCCCCATAAACGTTCACAGAAATGACATACAAGCTCCTCGAGTCCCTTCCTCGTTCTGTGCTTGCAAGTCTGCAGCGCAGAATGACGCCTCTATTGCAGTTCGATGTCGTCGGGGTGAGTTTGACATTTCAATTTTTGAGACCCAACGCTGAGCCAATGACTAATTAATTAATTAATTTGTAGGCCCTTCCCACAGAACTTTCTCTCCTCATCTTTACGCATCTCCCAGCAGCTTCCTTACTCACCTGCTCTCTTGTCTCCAAACGTTGGCACATCCTCGCAACCGATCAAGCACTCTGGCGTCGTCTTTGCCATACACACGGATGGGAATGGCGCACGGACGTTGCTGCACCCACCCCTTGGGACGGACTTGGTAATGCAGATTCCGCGGATGCAGTTGTTCGCGAAGAAAGGGATGAAGATGAAGGTATGGGTGACGAAGAGGAGGACGAGGACGAAGGGAGCGGGGAGGGCGCGGGAGATGTCGTTGATTTTATAGGGGATGACTCGGTAGACTGGGCGTCCATGCCGATGAACATTGACGACATTGAAGCACAGGGTCTATCTCATCTCCTCATACCTATCAATCGTGCCACTTTCTCCCCCTCAACATCTGCCGTCATCCCATTATCCCGTACCACATCGCAGCATGGCTTTTCATCCCGACGCGCGCACCTTGCGCCTGACTATAAGCTCCTCCACCAGACGCACATGCTCCTACGCAACCGTTTCTGCCAGGGTACATATCGCAGGCGTACACTGCCTTGCGCAGATGCCGGCGGACACAGTGCTGCAGTGTACTGCCTTTGGTTATGGACGTATCCAGCAGGGCTTGATGGCCGGTCCGCACCCCTGCAGGTGCTATTTACGGGCTCGAAGGACCGCACGGTTCGCGAGTGGGATCTGCGCACGGACCGCGTACGGCGCGTGGTCGGTGAATTGCATGAATCTAGTGTCCTGAGCTTATGTGTATCTTCTGACTTTGCGAAATTGGGAGAAGGAGAGGAAGCGCTAGCAAACGAGCCCAGCAGTGCTGGGTTGCTGGTGAGTGGAGGTAGTGATAGGCGTGTTGTTGTTTGGGACCTCGGCAAGGACAAGTTGGTCAAGGTGCTGCAAGATCATCTCGACAGTGTGCTTTGTGTTCGTGTTGATAGCGGGAGATTGGTGACGTGTTCCAAAGGTTTGTTTGCGATCTGCGGTTCTATATAGCAACTGACTGGATGTTTGTGTTGTCAGACCGAACTGTCAGAACATATGGGTTTCCGTCCTTGAAGCCTCAATTCGTATTTCGTGCGCATCGTGCAGCTGTTAATGCAGTCTCTGTCGTTGGCGACGTGATAGTGTCTGGCTCTGGTGACCGTTCCATACGTGTTTGGAATGCAAACACTGGCGCGCTCATCAGCACATTTGAGGAACACCATGCACGAGGGTGAAGTTCTTCTTGATTTTTCCACATTGGACATGATTACTGAGATAACGTCTTAGCATTGCCTCTATCGAGTTCAGGCCCCCATTCTTGTTGTCTGGCTCATCAGACATGCATTTGCGCATGTTTGACATAGCTTCGTCGCAAGGCTGGTCGACAAGCCCTGAGTTCAATACTCCTTCAGCCGCAGTTCCCACCTTGACCACCTCACCATCGCATGGCCAAGATAATATTGCAATGATACCGGGACAGGGGGCAGCACCATTCTTCTTGCATTCCTCCCTAACACGATCCATGTCTAATACCCCGCGGCCAGATGCAAACACCGTCGTGTGTCATGCTTGTGGGTCGCATGGATTGTCTGCACGGCGTGAGCAAGAGAGACATACACATCTCGTGCGAAGCGTTGCTCTTGGGGAGGAGTTTGCTGTCAGCGGGAGCTATGATCTAAGCATAAAGGTATGTTGGATGCAATTGTGGGGATTATGAGGGCCATGAACTTGGTGTCAATACAGGTGTGGGACAGGAAGACAGGGGCGCTGGTCGCTGACCTGAATGGCGGCCACACGGGAAGGATATTCTGCGTGGGTTTTGATTGTACCAAGGTCCGTCCTCTATTTATATTTTTAACTTGATTGAATCTTAAACTATGCAGATTGTTTCGTGCGGGGAAGATCAGGTGAGGCATATGCTTCTCAGCCCTATCGTAACAGCTGACCACGCACCCTATAGAGGATCTGTATTTGGGATTTTTCTCATGGGATTGATACATCTTTCATCAAACTGTAGCCCTAGATTCATGCGATACCCCGTGTTTTGGAAAGTCTCCCCTGTGGGGTCTGTAGATTGTTTATTGATTGACCTTTTTGTGCTGCCGAAGTCGTGCGTTTCCCCTCGGCGGCCAGGAATGCTGTAAGTGCAGAGTGGAGTGGGCGTTGTATTTTCATTTCGGCGGACGATGCCTGTGATCTCTGCCTTCATGCTCCCAGCCTTAGCGTTTTCTAACCGATGAGGCTTATTGGTAATTCACGACTTGTTGTCGCGTATGATGTCACGCGACGTCATTTAGATTGCTTCATAAGGCGTGGTTCATTCAAGCCCGCTTTCAAACCGACTACGACCATGCACACACTCTTTGGTACTCTTTCTCGCACAACTACCCTTCGTCGTGCCCCGCTCGTCCTTCGCCGTCCTCCACAGTTTCAGGGCCCTTCCCAATTCACAGTCCGTCCAGCAGCCATTAACCTGGCCCAGGTCCATGCACGGTTCGCAGCAAGTTCAGTTTCAGGCAGACCAGGCAGTCAGACTATAGAGCATGCGAGGCAGAACGTGAAGGAGGAGGTCGGGAACTCGATGACAGACTGGGCGCGCTCGATTGCTGGCGGCGTGTTCACAGTAGATAGCGTCAAACCGACAAAGGACTCTTTCGTACGTGCTTTTTTGCGAATCAGGACATTCGCCTTATTAACCACGGTACTCCAATCGTCCAATTTAGTTCGGTATCACCACTGCAGTCGCGCATTCCGTGCCGACCCCCTATCTTGTCATGGGCCTTGCTGGTGGTATCCCATATATCGCGTCGTCTGCAACTACCGTGTATCTTGCACACCAAGCAGGTCTCGCGACCATGGGTGTTATCACGAACATGGACCCTGGTGTTGCGCTTAACGTCTTAGACCAAGCGCTCAACTTCCAAGTCCACTATGGCGCTGTGCTTCTGTCCTTCCTTGGCACGTGACTTCACTTCTACTTCGATAACTTAGCTCATGTTATATTTAGGTGCGATCCACTGGGGTATGGAATTCAGCGGTCTGGGTGGGTACAAAGGCTACCCCCGTCTGTTCCTCGGCATATCTCCCGCAGTCTTGGCGTGGTCAACTATTACTCTCCAACCTACTTTCGCACTGCTCTGGCAGTGGATTGGATTCACTGCACTGTGGTATGCCGATAATAGAGTCACGGCTGCCGGTTGGAGTGAGCCTCCTTGTTTCAGGGTCGCGGTTCCCTACTGACTGTGCCTTCTCCTCAGCACCAAAATGGTACTCCCAGTACCGCTTCTACCTTTCCATCCTTGTGGGCACATGCATCATCGGCTCCCTTGCAGGAATCTCGTATTATGGCCCTGTAGCCGGCCACGGTCTTCTCTCCCATGACCTCAACATGATTCGCGCTGAGCGGTCAGTATTTTATGCTTGTTTTGTATGCTGTTCCTCACGCCTTTGCAGAAAACTTATCGAGCCTGAGCGCACGGGCCACGTTGGTGGGGACATTGAGGCTGTTCAGGGTGAGGAGTCGAGCGACACATACGTTGTCATCCGCCGGAAGCACAAGAACGGCAATGGCGACAATGGAGCTAACGGAGAGGCGCACGCTCAACAGTGATATGTGGCTCATAAGGTGAGGGAGGACTTACTGAAAAGCCACAGAGAGCTGGATGTTGTGGAAATAAACACCATCACTTGTACTTGTCAACTGTATATCTGTACGTGTATCATACCTTTCGCTGTACTATGACCTCCAAAGACAAATGTTCTTTGCTACCTGATTGCAACGTGCGGTGTGTACGTTAGCGGGAGATCATTCGGCGTGGTGAGCTTGGGAATTGCGCCCATCATTTAGAACTTGCCCGGAAGTGAATGATTCAGAAGTGAAAAATCTGCTCTGTCGCTGGGATTTAATACACTCATCACAGATACTCACAATCCAGCACAGAGTACTCAGCACTCAGTTTTGTACACTACCGTGAATAATCGACAGGGGCTTTGTAATTTAAACTCCGATGCAGGTTAACTTTTCCTCCGAAACAAGTTCTTCATGCATCATGCCTTGCACTGCGTGTTATCAAAAATTTCAGCCGTATGAAACGAGGGCAGAACCTGACCCTAGGGTTAGGTCTCAGCCACGTCAGCGCCTTCGTTGGACACCGGCGTCGACATGGCGGTTTTATCGCATTCCCTCCATGTAGCAGTCAAGGTTTCGCTCTCTCGTCAACACCAGCTGAAACCATGGCCTGTCCTCGATAGGGCAACCTCGCGAGGTTTAATATTTGTATACCTTTAAATCAATATATATAATAATAATAATATATATATACCTCGATCGTGCACGCGCGGCCGCAATCGATATTCAGCTAGCCAGGTATCAATACTGGATAAATCAATGGTATTTATACTCGCGCCGTGCACTGCTCAGTGCTAGCTAGATACAGGCACAGCTATATAGATATATACAACAGACTCGTATATAACGTGTCCGAGTAATGGACAATGAAATCGGGCAGACGGGAAACTGAGTGGGCGCTGCAATGCAGCATGAAGGGTAGCAAGAATGTCAAGACACGTCAGAGTTGCGGTGTTGAGAGCCAACGGGACCCATCGCATCTGCAGATGCCAACAGAATACAGTAAGCTTGAATGAAGAACCAATATAAAGGTGACTACCTTGCGGTCCAAGGTGCAGGGATACTGGCGATGAACAAGATGGGTGCTGCCTCTGTATCTTGCCTTTCGTCCTCCCTGTGAAGTTGGCGTTACCAATCGAACCATCGGACATGCATACATAGCGGATACTCACTTAGCATTAAATATGGACAAGTACAACGTCCAGAAGACACCACAGGCGGACTGGAAAGGTATTCTACACGGCAGCGGCATATATCGGAAATAAATCATCTGCGAGAAATTAAGTTCACCATCGACGAACAGTTAAGCGTCCTTGGACTTACTTGTGCTGAAGGCCAAACCTTCCAGTTGGTGAGAAGAGCGGGATAGCGACCACGGCGTCAGTCTGCAAACGTATCAAATATTTGAAGGAAGGTCTCACATTATTAGCTGGTCGACAGCCACACATTTTGAAAAAGCTCTGAAGCTGACGCGAGGTTGACTTCTCCGCTCGAAGAGGAAATCGTCGTTCTAGAAAAAAAATCCATCTCCCGAGTAGAGGGCCTCGCAGGCAGATGGTTCAAGGTTTACTCCGATAATCCAGTGCATGGGACTTACTCATGCCGCTTCCAAGAAACGCAGAGTACGTGCGGGATCCTAACCAGGTCTGGGCTCATGATCTTTGACGAGATAGGGGTCGAAAATGATGTCGCCGAGAGCAATTCAAGGTTCCGCCAGTGACATCGAGAGTGTAATTCGGGTGAGTGTGGTATGCACGCTGATAAGCACGGGCGATAGTGAGAGTGCCGGACACTGCCAAAACGCGGATGTCGTTGTGGAAGTCGAGAGCAAAGGTAATTTCAAACTCCGCGAGTGTGGGGTTCTCAATTAACCTCTGACTATACGGTCTGCACGCGCATACATTCGCGGCACTGCAGAGCGCATCAGAGCGCTATCAGCGTTCAGTATTGTACGAGTAGGTTGCTTTTGTTCGTTTGTTGTATCGAGGACTGACCGTAACAATAATCAGTGCGTCCCGGTGACCTTTTGAACGCTGCTTCTTATGTGGAGCCCCAATATGTCTTTCCGTCTGATATGACAACCGGTACTTCAGACGAAGCCGACACATCAAGCTTCACTTCACCTGTCACCCCTCACTCTGATTTGGAGCCCGAACGATTCCCTCGTCTTTCCAACCAGCCACTCAATCATCAACATCAGTACGACCCAGACTATTTCATAGACCCTTCTCTGCGCTTCGAGTCTCGGGATGACGTCTCTTCAAAGAAACGAAAGGTTGAGGCACTGCGAACATACCCAGAGGCATCCACATTGTCTTCTCACATCCATATCGAAGACCGTGGCCGCTCTCAGTTTCGTTCACGATCGCCTGTAAAGGCAAAAAAATCGAAACGATCAGATGAGCCTGCAGTGAAGTAAGCTCAAGGTTGATATTATCTGTACCACTACTGATCGTGCAACTGCAGCAAGCAATCTCAAGTCCTTCAGAGGTTAAAGCAAATGCAACAACGCTCCAGGTATGCCTCAGTCTATTTTTGATCGCATTTCACTAATTAAATATTATAGAACCCCAGCGACGCAAAATCCCACAGCAAGCACATGTCCAAGTTCCGTGATGCCACCCCCATCAGAGCATCGAGCTTTCTCGTCTAAGCCAGCTTTGCATTTGAAACCAGCTGCACCCTTGGCACCTCGTTCTGCTCCATTGTCCCATCCACCAGCAGCCGCAGTGGTGGGCCGCACCACTGCACCGAAACCAGTCCCCTCAGCACGCCCCTTCCTCACAGACAAAGGCCTGCCCTCAAAGGCTTCAAAGTCGAAGCCAATGAACGGCACTACCAACCTAATGCAGCCTGTTGGGTTTGCAACACCCCGCAACCCAAATCCTACAACGTCTTTGCAGCAGATGGCTAAAGTTTCACGCACCCCCCCTGCTCGCGAGGATGACACCGACGATGACTTGCTCGAGTCACGTACCCTGCTTGGACCAGCCAAGGGACCGAGCCAGAAGGAACGAGCCTCTGCTCATTCCAAGACTCAGCTCCAAGCGAGTCGCCAACACAATTATATTGAGAGCTCGCAGTCAGAGATATTACGACTTCGCAAAGAGCAAGCCAGGCTCTCAGATCACCATGCTGCAACAACAACGCGGCTCGAGGGAGAGATCGAAAGCCTCATCAAGCGCATTGAGGCCCTTGAGATACGTGAACCCACAGCACTTGTTGCCACTGGTGTTCGGAACAACGCAATGAATGTAAGTCGTTTTATCCTTGTCGACTGCTACCTATCTTACTGTGCTTCTAGAGTGCCATCCGTCAAGTGCTGTTCAAGATGATGGGCATCGAGTTTAATGAAGCTCTTCCTGACCCTATGGATGGGAAGGATACCTACTGGACGGAAATCGATTTCCTCGAGGTCGATGGAACAACGACAGCGACGTCTGTTCTTCGACCAAAATGGGCCGACTCATGGACCCATAATTCCAAGTGGCACAAATCCTTCTTTGAGCGGTTCCGTCGAGACGCGAGCAACTATGAACCAACTCTCTCGCAGGACACAGTCAAAGGCATACCCGATAAGACATTGCGGAGTGTTGCTGGTAAAGTATTCAAGACGTTAAAGGAGGGCTATAAGGAGGGAAATAGGCCAATTGGACTTCAGTCTCTGAATGTCGCCATTGCTCGTCGCGAGAAGCGCCAAATTGACGTGAGCATGAGTGTATTGACATACCTGCACTAACCAACTATTGATACAGAAATCTAAACTTGCTATTGAGGCTCGCAAAAATATCCCAGACATCGGGGACCAGGAGTACGACTTCGCTTTTGCACCAAAATGGCAGTCGACAGATTATAGTGCCTCCGACGCTTCACACCAGAGTTCAAGTGACGAGGTCGACATTGTCGTTAACAAGAGACGCAAAGCTTACAAGAAACCAAAGAAGGAGGACATCTTCACGACCCATCCTCCAGTGTGGCGTTCAAAGGATGTAGGTCGTGTTTTGATTGTATCTTTGATTATTTTCTCACCTCCGCCAATGTAGTATCGTGCTCTTTCTCAGCTGATCAAGGACGAAGTTGAAAAGATTGTTGCAGAGAGGGAGGCTGATAAGAAGAACTGGATGAAGAAACGAGTACCGCGGATTCAAGGTCAACCTCGGACGGCAAACTCTTTGCCACAACACAACACCCTCAAGACTCCACGATGGGCAGTCTCGACACGATGGCTCAAGAGCCTGATGCGAGAGGACCGCGAACAGCAGGAGGCACTTATGACCGACAATCACGATGCAGATATATCATACTCCGAAAGCTCGTCAGCCGAGTCAGTTTAGGTTACTCGCATTCATGGACTAGATCAGGTTTGCTACATTTTGGACTCGGAATTGCTCGTCTCGTTATCATTATACTACCATAGATTTCTTTGTAACAGCATCCAAGAATTGATCAACTCTCACAAGGCTCACTCATGAGGCCCATTGTCACTGCTATCAGGTTCTTGAGTGGTCTATCCGAAGTTCAGCTGATTTGACAGAGGTTATTCAACTCGTGCACTCACAGTGTCCAAGGAGAATGTAACCCAGAAATGACCAGCACGAGGAACACGAATTCGTGCGAATGCAAACTGACCTGTAAAGTCCTCGAGACGACAAGCTTCAAGGTTGCCGAGTTCATTGTATTTCCAAGTCGCGATTCCGAGATCAGTTGCCGACAAAGACCATGGATGTTCAATGTCTAAAGCAGGCTCTTGAAACCGTCGGATAAGGGCCAAATTGACAATTAAGGGAGGATTTTGATGAGGGATAGTGACAGACAGGATGTAGTCAACTTGAGCTGCATGTCTGCCATTGATGTAACCATAGCAGAATCCCTTGCCACGGTGATGAAGCGAGGATCCATACTTTGCAGCCCCAATATTGACTGTAGCATATGATCTCACACCACGGGATTCAAATGGAATCCCATGCAATGCTTCTCCAGCGTCCGAGATCAAATTGAGGTGAGGGAACTGCAGCTGAAGAAAATGTAGGACAATAGGATAGATGTTGAGAGGTCGCAAGGCAATTATCTTGAATTGATTGGGGAGCACGATCTTAACTAGTAACTCTTGAATTAATTTGTGTCCAAAATTGATAGCAAACTCACAAACCTGAGTCTTCTGATACAGATAGAAGGGCAATGTAGTTCATGAGTGTTCCTCTCTGGCGATCGAGTTCTGCACCACCTTTGACTGCTTGTAACAGTAGCTGGACAATTTCCTTGTCCTCGTCTGTTTGATTAGGACGTGCCTGTAGGTGCATCAACTAATGGACAATCAGTAAAGACACAGTGAATTACTAGAAAATGTGCCCCACCAGCTCCTGGATCAAAATACTTTTCCACCAAGCCCTCATGAATGTCCCCTCAACTTCGCCACCTCCATGTCCATTGTGGTTAGCCTTTCCGAGGACACCAATGGCTCGCTCGTATGGAAACACCCACCACGCATATGCTGGACCGTATGTATTGATATACTCGAGCACATGGCTGGCGAAGTGAAAATTTGGTGTTAGGTGGCAGTTCATTGCAGCCCATGATTGTGACGCTTCGGACATGAAATCAGATGCACGAGTTGCCTCTTGGGGTGTGATGGATCGAGAGGCCAAAATCCGTGTTGCAGTACAGTAGCGCAGCACATTTTGATAGTGATCATGATAGTTGCGGCTTGCCTCGATGTCTTCAAGAGCAATGTAATCATCACCCTGCGCATCCTCGTCTCGAGCAAGGTTTTTGATACGACGCTTATGCAGCAGCTCTTTTGATTTAAGAACAGCTTGGTGTACCTTAGTGCGTTTACGTGGGGCGGGTGCGTCTTCATCTGGTTGACGGGTCCACATTTGCCAAGCAACTGCGAGTGCGACTGGATAAACTCGCATAAAATTGCGCCATTCATCAGCTTTCGGACGCTCTCCTCCGCTGGCAATCTTGCCATCATAGTTTAGCATCATCATTTGAAGCTCGTATCAAGCTTACCTTGATTTGGAACCGTCCAGAATTGTTCGGCCACCACAATGATTCAAGAAACTCGGTAAGCCGATCCATGGGCGTGAGTTCTCCCCGTTTTCCGGTCCCTGTGAACATGGAACCCTCGATGAGAATGACTCGGTGGATCTGGCCAGAAGCACCTGTAAGAGGGTTTCAATCATGATACTCGTAACTGACCAGAGAGTTTCAAACGAAACAAACCTGGGCCCCAGAAAAGGTGCATAATTTCCGATGGAATGCTCAGAGCTCCATTCCAGGTCGGAAGCCTGTCGAGAATCGAAGTACGGACACCCTTCTTCTCCGAGATAGTCTTTCGAGTGTCAGCATCAGAGTCTTTGTATATAAATTTCCATTTAAGCTGCTTCTCTGAGCTCCGGTAGCAGAATTCTGCAAAAACGTGAGGCCTCGGTACATATGACAAAAAAAACACCTACTCGAGCGATCGAAGCAAACTGGATCAACTAATGACGAGAATGGTGCATTGCAACACGGACACATATGCTCCTCCGAGTTTTGCGAAACAAATCCAGCTGTTTTGAGGCGAGCAGGTGTATCCATGGTTCCAAATGGAAGCACGACGTGAATTTGTTCAAGGTCTTGATGTCCGAACACCTTGAAGAACTCTCCTGTTATTTCAGTTATCAATGTCAATAAGCTACTACATAACTGCTGCAATGTACGTACCTTCACCAAGATCTTCAAGCTCTCGAACGAATGGCTCAAGAAGCCCATTCAGCTGGTCCGTGTTTGGTTCTGTTGGGCCAGGAATGACGAATAGAAGGAATGTATTTTCACGAAGAAATCGAATCGATCGTGGCAGATTGTCGATAGTGAGCCAGACTGTCCCGGTAGAGTAGTTGGCTCGTTTCAAAGCTCGGAACCTAGAGCCGACATTAACAAAAGGTAGAGCTAGAGAGTTTGAAGATCACGTACCAATCAACATTGATATGAACTACAATACCACACTTTAGCGACACAAATCTTTGGTGGAGATTTTTGGTGTCGATGTCTTTAACCTTCCGATTCCTCTCGTCCCACTCGCGTGTCATGCCTGTCGGAACAGAACGCCACATCCAACCATCATAAATGTCGCAGAGTGGCTCGTCAATTGCCTTTGTTGCATACCATTCCTCGCATGTGATGGGTGGTGCTGGCTCGTCATCTCCTTCTTTTCGCCAATGTTGCAGCTCGTCCCACTTCCCTGGACGCATAAGGAGCCTCGCAAGTGCAGTTTTCAATGACGCGACCGGCATGACCTTGAAAGGAATTTTTTTCACGCCCTCGGATGTTGTGCGTTTGGTTCGAAACAGCGGTGCGGAGCAATCTGGTTCAGTGCAGGTCGGATTGCGTAAGGTGCAAAAGTCAGAGGGATGGTACATTTTCCAGCACGACGGACAAAGAATGTAAGTGGTAATAATCTTGCTGGTGTCAACGCCAAGGCGTTTTTCCACAGTGCGAAGAGTGCGAGCCATGTTATCTAGTTCGAGTTCTGGCGGAACTCCACCAAGGTCTCGATAACATGTCTTGATTGTGCTGTGAAGGAGGGTGAGTGTTGCCTCAGAGTCTGCGTGTGTTGCATGTCGGTATGCAGCATTAACGAACACGGACAAGTAGCCGTTGAGAAGAGCTGGATGCTCCGATAATGCATGCGGGAGGATATCCTCCGGCTCACTTTGGTCTCCTCGTGCGAGGCCATCCTCGAGGACAGCATCATTCGACAAATATTCTGGATCCCCCTCTGGATCCCAAACTCGCTCGTCATCTTGCTCGTCATCTCCCTCAATATATTCACCAGTACTGACCCGTTCGTGATGCTCGTCATGTGTGATAGCAGGAGTGCCGAGGTCGAGAGAAAGTACACTTTGGTTGTCAAGAGACTCGTCGTCAGATGGTGGAAAGTATAGAGGAGGGGAATTGGATCTCGAACCGCCCAGGTGATCTATATCAGATACAGAAGGTGAATTGTCTGGCAAAACGCCGAGCAGTTCAAGCTCTTGGGACGGTGTCCCATAATCAGGGAGTATCGGGTCATCATCCAGCAAAAATTCGTCCTGACTTGTGATATCTCTGTCCGAAGCGGTCCCATTGATCAGCTGAGCCTGCGGAGGTTCACCACTGCCAAGATGCTGCCTGCGTGCACGACCGTGCTTCTTCAGGTGATTTTTGATAGTTTGAGCGGTCTGAAAAAGACCTGATAGCTCACACACTGAGCACGGACATATACGCCGCTGCAGGTATACGAGGGTCAGCCATGCATTAAGACTCAACTATAAGCTCGTACCTTGCTTTGTTGATTAATAGACATCAAACGGCCAAGCGATAGGCTGTAACCTGTCCGTCCACTGTCTCGTTGAGTTGTTGGGAAATGTATGGTAGGGTTAGTATTATTGGTTAGTGGCAGCGCATGCGGCGTGCGGCGTGCAAGAACAGGTGTACATATGGAGAACACCGTGTAACCCTAAAAATGGGTATACCTGCTGCATATTATACTTATACATTTTTTTGTACTAACACGCAAAACACACCTCACGTAGAAGCCACTGTAAGGTAGATAAGACGTAGGTGATGATACCTCTAAGTTTGAGCCATCGTTGACACCGGTGATAATTTAAAGGGTCAGATTTCCGACATCATAGAAGCCGGCTGATATTTGGTGGCGGTGACGTGGCTGAAACCTTGGGGACCCCCCAGAATTTCCGCCAACTCTCAGCCGTCGGAATTTTTGGACAACACGCAGTGTTGACACGTATCGGCTTTTGCCAATAACATGACCAATGGTTGGAATGGCATCACTTTCGATGATCCGAGCACTGGGCATCCTATGCTCCCTCGGGTCACTCAAGTCATGCAACACATCTACAGCACCATCCATCCTGAACGCCCCACACCATCCACGGTGGACAGGTGGTACTCATTAAGCCTTTCTTACCAGGTAGAAAATTCTGGCCACGAGCCGTCAATTGTAATCCTCAATCTCCGAGAAGGCGTCAGGAATACCCACTTCATGATCAACTTAAATACCATGAATGTCCAAGATAAATTCCATGAACATCGTTTTCCGGCGCCCCAGGAGATTCTTTCTGTCTTACGAGAACTCAGAGAATACGTGAGGGGGACGATTCGAGCGAAATGGGAAGCGGAAGAGGCGCGAAAGCGCGAGCTAGCCCGTCGCCGTGAGCTTGCGCGAGAAGAGCAACGAAATCGAGTCCAGGTGAGTAAGCTAAGTAGTCGCAAGCGTGTTGCAGAATTCATCCATTTCCTGAGTACAGGCATTTTATTGCTGTCTTTTTGACAAAGGTTTAATCAACAAAGATGGTGTCAAGAACTTATCCGGTGACAGTTTGCATTGTCCCGTCTGCTCAGCGAGGCAGACATCATGCAATATGTGCAAACTTATCTCTTGCTCCAATATTGATTGTGAAGTCTCCTCTGCCATCCCCATCGCACAGTGTTTCAATCATCACGACATGAAATTTTGTGCTTCGTGTTTGGAGCACTCGGGCTCTCCGCCTCATCTGGGCAAATGTCCTATATGCGCAATCTGGTTCTGTTCGAAAGAGCTTGAGTGGTGCATCGGGCGCCCAGTTTATAGTGGTACTGGACCACCAACTCGATTACACCCAGCACGTCCCTTGTCCTGCCGGTCTAACACCTGCGTGGAGAACAGTCAAGAGAACAGAAAGAGTGGGCGTCGCTGCAGCAATTATGGTTGTTGGTCTCGGGATGGCGGCACCAGAACGTGTCCTGATTGTGTCACACAGGATAACTTATCCTGTCCATGCGGTCAATACTGGTCTTGCGGTGGCTGCAAGCCGCACGTTTCTTCCATTTTGGGGGTTCTCACGTGCCCTGGGTGCCACCAGCGTTTCTGTCGATCGTGCTCATACATCGGGGCTTGCGATCGGTGCGACAAAGAGGGGCTCTGCGATGACTGCATGGAGGACAAAGAGAACGAAGGAGTGGAACATGCCATTTCCAGGTGCCGGAGCTGCGGAGGTTTCCTATGCGAGAAATGCGGTGGTAAGGATGAGAAATCATGTTTCAAATGTAACAAGCGCGTTTGCAAGATATGTGAACTTGAAGAAGACGACAGTACTCTTGATGTTGTCTGTGCTGGATGCATAGAGTTGATCGAGAGTGAGAGTGAGGTGAGTGATTGTGAACCTTTCGACTCTTGGTATGGGAGTTGATGTCATTATCACCCTACACAGCACAATTACTACGACTACGACGATGAGGATATGGCCTTTCTGGATCAGGCTTACCAGGATCAGGCTTACGAGGAACAGGCTTACGAGGATATTGCTTACGATAATTGGTGGTGATATTTCGCATCGTTTAAAACTATCATTTGTCAATATTGTAGCCTGTCCCTATAATGACACTAAATTTCACCAGTACCTTATTGTCCATCGGGCCACCTCCTCGTCTGTTTCGATTCTGCGCTGGAAGTTGCCCGCCCCATGACAGGTGTCCGTACACCAAGTTTTACAGGACACGCAAATTTATCGCACTGACCTGCAGGGCGCGAACCTGCAGAATCAGCAAAAATTATCGTTAAAATATGTTCACGTTGAAATCAGAACATCACAACCAGCGGAATGATGTAGCAGGAAAATGACACACGAAGGATGTAGAACACGGTATACACTAAAATACATTACCAGCGACATATACAAAACTAGGATGGGCTCAATTACATTTTGGAGTAACATGAAGCCACAATACTCATCGAAAAAATAAATACAGCAACTCCACTTCATGCAGAAACATCATAATTGATCATCATCGACGTCGGCCACGCGCTAGGCAACATCTTCTCATCAAGGTATGCATAGCGCAGCACTGGGAGTGCCTCGTCTTCAAACCGGGGAAGATTCCCTGACTGGCCAGGACCGCGACAAACATTGTTGAATGAGAAAATGCCCCGGAGGACCTCAGCGATGATTGTCGAAGCAAGATCATCCCCAAGAACCTTGAAGCAACCGTCGCCATGAATATAGCGCGCACGAGGAGTACGAGTAGTATCCAAGATTGTTGGGTTGGGGAAAGCATCCTCCTGAATGTCACGTAGGAGAGATGTGGAGGGCTTTGCACAGTAAGGACCCACATTCGCATTTGCCGTGGCAACATCCACAAACAGGCGTTCGCCTTGCTTGACAGTCAAAGAGCCTACGGTTGCATCCTGCTTCGCGACACGGTAGACACCGGCGAAAGGTGGGTCAATTCCTGAGTCGGATATCAAAAGAGGCGTTTAGCTAGAACAGGACACGTACTAAGGGCCTCGATAGCATAGGCGGTTAATCCAGAAAGGTCTTTGGAATCCGCGCTCTTAGCCGCTTGGATTGTAATGGATGAATTCTTCTCCGAATCAAGGAACTGATTGACGACGTTCGTCAAAGCTATGATGATCATATCTGAGACCCGTCTCCATAATAATGAGAAGTAGGAAGAACATACCAAGAGACATCTCGACAGTAGCGCCAACCAACAACGCAAGGATCGAGTTCACGACCTGCTCAGTGGAATAACCAAACTCGAACAAGAGTTTGACAACCTCGTTTTGGTTCTTGCCTCTACCGCCAAAGAAACTAGACAATGTGTCAAATAGTCCAGCGAGAGGCATTCTGCTCCCAGCACTACCAAGAGCATTCTCGATAAGGCGTGTCAGTTCTTGCACATGGTCCTTGACCCTCTGCTTCAAAGTCATATACTTCGCTGCTTCAACCTCGAGGAAGATGAATCTTGGCGGAACATCAGTGATCATTGCAGAGGAAATGCACGTCAAGACTGACTGATAAATCTCAGAAAGCATATCGAACAACTGAGACTCAGTGAAGACACCGTCAGGATGTTGCTTTGTCTTAAGGGGAATGCCAGCCTACAATCACAATGAGTCGATATTGGGATGATCCATCCAGCAGAGACGCACAACTTCGGTGGCAGCCCAGGACAATGGTATAACCTTCAACACATCTCGAACGATGTTGACAGCACGAGTGTTCTTCTTCTCGCCAACCAAAGAGAACGAATTTTGTTCAATTAGTTCCTTGACCTTGTTGTAGAAGTAGGTGCCGATCTGAGAGATGGCTTCTGGAGAAGGTGCGAGCGCGCTGATGAACCGCTTCTGCTCTTCAGCGCCATTTTCAGATGCCGCAAAGAAGCTATTGGAACTGTTAGCACCCATTAAGCCATAGCATGTCCAGCGTACCCCTTGCCCTTGATGATCTCTGCTGCGCGTTCGATGTACTCGGGCACGAATTTCGTAGTACTGAGAAGCACTTGACCAACCTCCACGTAATTGGTCACATTGGTACAAGGTCCGCGAGGCTTTGGCCGTGCAAGAGAATATCCGTCGAGCTTGTCAAGGTCCTTCAAGTAACCCTCCATACGCTCTGGGTGCATAAAAGGGAACCACGTGTAGATGCTGTCTGCAGTATAATCATTGGGCAAGGTGCGGAGAAGGAGACGACCAAGCGTAGAACCGAATCCATAGCCGTCAGGGTCTCGCTGACAATCAGCGAAACCCCAGGCGGTCATATTGTATGGCGTGAAGTCCTGCGTGAAGAAACGGTCACCACGAGTCAGGGCGATGGCATCTGACAGGATGGCACGAGAAATGGTGTAACCTGAGAAACTTGTAAGTCTACAGAAGTAGCATCTGAACGAAAAGGTAATACCTGGGCAGAGTCCTGTGCCCTCCCTAAGAGGCTTGGTCTCTTCAGCCTGGATACCTGCGTACAGCTCCAAGTTGTCAATGTGACCATAAAGCTTTTCGGCGGCTTCAGCAATCTTGTGGTTGGGGTTCCATTCCAAAAAACTGGAGTATGCTGCACGACCCTAAGTATCCAAGAGAGGCATTGGGGCTTGACTTACGCTTCAAACCAAGGAACTTCCTGTAGTCATTGAGCGAGCAAACACCCCATGACCGGTTGGCTTCGATACCCATGATTTCATGGAGACGCATGACTGAGGGTGTACCACGAGCACCGAAGGCAGCAGCGTATTGTGAGGTACTGAGAGAATGCATCAATACAAAAAAGGGTAGGATGATATGATGATCACTGACGCGGTCATAAGGTAATTTGCAAGGTCGGAGTCCTTGAACGCATCCACGTTGGGACCTTCGGTCTGACGCTGAAGGCTGCAAGGGAAATTTAAATTGTGGCATCAATAGTAGCCTCGGGTTACTCACTTCCCGAACGTCCATTTATCAAGATCTGTCTTCATCTCCATGTTCTCAAGCTTCGCTCCAGCCTGATGAAAATCGTTCAAGGTGATCTCTTCAGGCCTTTTAGTAGGGAAAAGCTGCTGGAACTGAAGAGTAATCCATTTTTCGTCCTCAACAGAGGTCGTAGCATGCCATCGGTACAAGCAGTTAAATTCAACACTGCAAGCATTACCACGGCCGCGCTCGAAGAGCTGGTGATCAATGTTACGCATTTCGGCGAATGGCTCAAGACTCCAGCTTGATCCTTGTCGCACAATGCCCAAAATGCACGAAAAGTAGTCAGAGAAAATAATGGCCGCAAACCATGCACAATTGTTCAGGCGTGCGATCTGGAATATTTCTTCATCTTGCTTCCCGAGCTGAGCTTGACTGGCGGAGTGCTGGGCAGGATCCTTCCATGTACCTCGTTCGTTGATTTCAAGCAACCGACGGGCAATATACTTCGCGCGGTGGGCTTCAATTAATGACCATGAAAACGATGAGTTGAGTGACATACATTGTGGTTCCTGTTAAACAACACCAAGAGCACACCCACCGTGGGAGGAAGGAAAAGGAGCCGATCCTCCGCGAACACGTCCGGGCGAAGTAAGCCGCGTCCTTCCTTGAGCCTAACCTAGGCTGATGTCATGGTTGGTATTATAAGATGCTCGTCAAGCACCAACCTTGTCCTGCGTTTCCTGGTCATTTCCGTACAAAGGTGCGAGGTCAACGTAACTCGAAGTCATGTTGATATGTCCCCTGCCGGGAGCGTGATCTGTCCGGAATACGGTGTGAATGACGAGTGCTGCAAAGGAGAACATCAATGCGGACAGGCCCGCAGGATGTTTGACGAACTAATGGTTATGTTTGCGTAAGAGATTGAAACAGGTCGTGTAGCACACGCGTACCTCCTCCCTGCAGAGCAGGGTATCGAATACCAGACCGGCATCAGGCATTTGGTTCCGTGGTAAGGGGTTTGACTGTTGCACAGAACGCGCGTAAGGTGTACCGGCTTTGCCGAGGTCAGGTATAGCATGGTTGTTGTTTGAACCGTCAGCAGTGCGGAACTGATATTTTGGTTCAATGAATGTAGTGGGCGGGTGCGCGAGGTCATTATACACTGTAGTAAAGTTCAACACGTTCATAACTAAACTGCTTGGCTGCTAAGTGAGGCATTACTTACGGGTCTTAATGACGAAAGTCCGAGCCATATTTGAAACCTTCCCTGAGTGATCGGCCATGAACGACAGCAAGTTTTCCAGCTTGATGACACAGGACAATTGTTACAATCTTTGTGCTTCCGGTCATTTGGGAACTCACAAGCATCTTGCGGTCATTAAGTGCGCCTGCATGAATGATGGCGTCAAGGGCGGAGGACTGCAGGAAAGCATCAATACTCTCCAGACTAAGATACAGCGATCGGGAAAAACTGACGAGGGCCGACTCGTTGATGTCTTCGGCGGAGTGATGTATCTAAGCAAAAGAGTTGTCAATGCTAGGCGATGATCTGAATTGTACACCTACGAGGTCCTTGATGTGTTCCAAGGCTTTCATTGCGCCCGATTCAGTCGAAGAATGAGCAGCCTCGAAAGCTAGGGACGCTAGACCATTCTATAAGTAGGTAGATGTAAGTCCTGACGTTCATGCACGTTAGGATACTTACTGCTTCGCTGTTGGTTGAAAAACGCGATGAGAAGGTTTGGTCGAGGGTCGACATGATAAAAATCACAGACAATAGTGGAGATGCTGAAGTGGAACCTTAAGAGCTGGATTTCAGGCATTTGTGTGATACTTATGCGCCGACATGGAACCCCTTGTAACAAGCCTCAGCAACCATCTCGAATTGCATTTCCCAAGAATCAAGATCTGCCATCATTCATCGCCTTATGTTTATTCTTAGCGTTACGGTGTTTCTTCTTCTCCGAGCTAGCGCTCAATATTAGCGAGAGATATGAAGCAGATTAGACCACAAGTTCACAGCGCTTTGTGCCACTTACGAGTGATAGTGTTTGCTTGCCGTGTCGAACGATGTGCCTCCACTGTGCAAAATGGCAGTTCGCATTGGGAAATGGGGAACAGTTCGCTCAGAGTCATGGCGTCGAAATGAGTTGTGTGTAAGTACGTGACACTGCCGCAACACCGCCACCCTGAGGGTTTCATCATGGGCCTGATGCAGTGAGTCCAGGAGGTGCGGTCACATCACGGCGCCGAGATGGATGGCAAGCATATATGCACACAGCTGTCATGATCACCTAAAATTAACTCAATTACATAACTCGGGAAGCGGAGTCAACTTCTCGCTTGCCCGGTATCATGAATCGTAGTATGCGTGACCTTTCGACTGGTTCTGCGATGGTCAGGCCTGAGGCTTGAATATCTGTGCAGCGAGAAGAGATTGCGTCTCAGAAGCTTTGATACTTACATCCAGATCTCAGGGGCTCTCCAGATTTAGGTAGGCTTGCCAGTGACCCCAAGACGAGAAAAGGAGATGGGTTCAGCGGGTGTTTCTTCCAACGTTTCAACTTCCAAGTCATCATGAACCAGGATATGAAGCCCGAGTTTCTGTTTCTTGCTGATCTCCATATTTACATTCTGACATTCCTTCCTTACCAAGATATTCTTCGGTGCACATCCGTGAGCAGCATTTTACTTGTCGACATTGATCCTCCTAGTAAGCGGGCTTTTGTACTGACAATCGTCTTGCAGGTATGTAGAGACCTTCGCCAGACATACTTGTCGTCTCCTGAGCTTCAGTACCTTGTTGAACTCGGCGGTCAACAACTGCTCCCTGTCGATCTCCGTGTCGATAACCACTGCACTCCCATTTCAGAACGTCTACAACTCCTGAGGGACAAAGCCCACGCATGGTTCAAGTTTGATACTCGACCTACCGAAACAGTCGTCGTGCCAGACAGGTTTCAGTTTAAAACCACATCTGTTTCCAATCAGCATATCACCCTCGTGGACACATGCGAAATACGCTGCCATCCGGGCTTCGCCAAGATTTTTCCAATATTACCAGAGCCCTCACAACAAGCAATTGACCGTGAATGGTATCCAGAGACACTATTTCCAGTTCCTAACGGGCATCAAATTGACTTGCTCATGGACCCAATGCAAAATCTGGTTGCTGCCGCGTACGACGCTAATGATGGGTCGGATGTTTGTATCAACCTACTACCTTTGGATAGAGATGGTACCCACCCCCAAGCTGCTGGACCGACACTTTTTACTTCAACGGCGCTGCCCAGACGCTTGAACGTGCTTTGGAAAGTCGAGAGGTGGAAGCTTAGGGGTCTTGGGAGGCATATCGCTCTCTGGCACAGTTTGCTACTCCATGATCCCGATAGGGTCCTATGGTGGTTGCAGATTTGGGACTGGCAATACTCGGCAACATCCAATGTGAGTGAACCTTGTCAGAAGTAGTTGAAAGCCTCGACGGCCGATACTTGATTTAGAGCGTCCTCAGCGGCACTGAGTTCAACACAAAAACCGACCGATTAATTGATTATTGTTTCCTCGAAAATGACAGATTGCTCATGATTGTCGGTGTCAATTTGAGGGTCTATTTAATTGAAGACATATCCCAGGCGCCGAAATTCCTGGCATGTTTCTTGTTGCCTGCACCAGTGGAGAGTGCACAATTCTTACGCGGCTCAAAGAACGATGTTGCATACAGGTCACAGCCAGGAATGCAACAAGAAATGTGGACATCAGATCCTACGCATCAAGTACTATGCCTGAGCACACGCCCCTTGAATGCATCTCCTCCTCGTGTTCAATTTGTCATTTCCACCAGCATTTTCTTCGATCTCGACTTTTTAGAAGTGTCGGCGACAGCAATACCTTGGAAACATTGGGGCCCATTAAATGCTCGTATAGTACTACGAGGAGTTCCTTGATGCCACTGGTGGGAGTCGAGTCTTGAGGGCTGTCAAGCACCGGCAGGGCCTAGGTCAGTTGGTGAGAGAGCCATCTACGATAGACTTGGATGGAGAGTTGGTAACAACGTCCCTGCCATATGTCGAGGTCCTGTCGAGCAAGAAGTCTATTCCTAATCGTGAGCTAATTGCTTTATCGATCGATGAAAGCAGAATTTGTGCGCTTCATATCTATGCGTGCAGTGTACGCTGTTCCCGGTTTCAAGGAAGAGTCTGATCTGATTTTTAATCTACAGGTCAAGGTCATTAAGATTTGGGACGGGGTTTGAGATGTGATTCCTGTGCTCCATTGAGTAGGCAAATATGTAGGTTCTACATGCAGTAGGAGTAAACTGAAACGGGGAGAATGGAGGAAGGAGAGGAATCCTAATGGGGATGGGAAGCAGTTTGTGGAGTGTATGCGAGACGCAGGCGGTGAGGGTCCGCCAGTCACAGCAGAAGCACTGGTGCTCGTAGTCTGTGGGGTGACTCCTTCAGTGATATTGGACATCTCTGCTGGTGGCGCGCTACCGTTTGATGCACCAGCTGCATTGGAGACCCCAGCGGTAGAAGTGTGGGCTTGCTGGCTGGAGGACATGTAGCTGCACCAAATGCATGTCCCCGCTGATGGTACTAGCGGTGCGCGGTAGGGAAATGTTATCAATGGGGGAAGGAGACCATCTAGAGTGAAAGCGACTCGCCATGCACGTTGTTGTATCTTCAACAGTTCTTCTCTGCTTACATTCTGAACGATGATGTGTTTGTCGGTTCCTGCTGCTAGTTTACTACCATCTGAGGAGTACGACACGGAGTTTGCCTCACTGCCCACTTTGAGTGATCCGAGGACTATTTCACCCGTCTCCCTCCGCCACGCGCATATCGTATCGTCCAATGTTGCCCTTGCAAATGTCTCGTTGTCTGGTGCAAAGACGATGCTCCAAACACTCTCTTCATGTTCCTTGAACGAGATCGGTACTCCCTTGCTTATTGCAACTTCCCAGACCAGGATGCTTCCGTTCTTCGCTCCACTCACAAACTAACGTCCATTGGAGGATGCTGCCCTACCTGTTTTCCCGTATGTCGCCAGAGGAAGTGACGAGGAGACGGGTATCAGGGATGAAAGATACGCTGTCCACCCAGTCTTCATGACCATTGAGCGTCAGTTCTGCGTGAGGTGGTTTCGTTCGGGTGGGAATGGACACTCGGGGAGATGTCTCGTCTTCGTGATTGGTGGTTGCCACCGCCATTGTTCTGTGTCTCGCTCAGCAGGAGCGATGTACGGGAGGCTCATACTTACATGCGCTATCGTTGGTGGTTTCTCTATAGGTCGCTGCTGAATCCCACATCTCTGCCTTGCCGTCGACACGTGGTATCCTCAAACTATCTTGCTCACAACCTCCGTCCATGATATTCTGGTTCACGATCGTCATTGGAGAAGACGCTGTTCGCCATGAAGCATCCCCCAAACCTGCTGATGTTCAATGGGGTGATAAGTTGGCATTGCAGTGAGTTGCTACCCATGATTTCAAACACGGTTTCGCATAACTCACCTGTGTTACAGTGTCACCGAGTGCGTTCAATTCCTGGTCAAATGCTGGAAATATTTTCGGCGGTCATGCAGGGAGTACACAAAGCACATCTCGCAACAGGCAGTACCAAGCACCATGGTCACTTGCGCTGTAGAAGTTCAGGATGTCATATTAGCTCACTCGACTTCTCAGATAGCAATCAAAAAATACCTGGGATGCCTTCTCACACTGCTGGATTCCTCACTGTAGTTTTATCTCTGCTGTCACAATACCGGACTTGTAGCCCAGAGTCCCGCATCCCGAATCTTGAACATCGCAGTTCTCATCAGTCGCGTGCACCTTCTCATTAATTCACAGCTCTATTCCTCTTTGGCATCTAGCGCTCATGCACCTCAGTTCTGTTACATTCTGCACTGATCAACTTCCGACAAGAGATCCAGTTCCACCGCCGGTACTTTCAAGTTGAGAGAAGCCGGCCGCCCGAAGTTTGCTATAAAACGACGGGCTTGAATACTTTCGAGATAGACTTGCATGTTGCCTTGGATGTGTGGAATCAGCGAGAGCTTGGTTCGTGAGTGCGAAATTCGAATATGAAGTTGCCGGTGTCGCAGGCAGAATGTTCTGGAGGAGTCATGATCACAACTTGATCACAACACATTTGTAAACTTTAACCTTCGATTTCTTATAGCTGCATACCTCTTCGCGTGTTAGTCCTTCAGCATTCATCCCTTTTTTTTTTATTACAACGAACTCTGAGCAAGATGGCTATGCCAACTTCCACCGCGAACTGGCACTGGAAAAACAAAAATGTCACACCATGGGCAAAGGAATGGTTCCAGCGAGAGCTGACAGCTATCGTGATCGAAGGGACCGAGGGAAACGTCGCGATTTCTTCTGTGAGGATCGACGAAGGTGATGTCGAGCTCGGTCAGCGCAAGTCTAAGTGCGTATTCTCTTCTCTCTACACTTTGCGCATTCATAATGAGATCTTTTTGTCACTTTCAGGTTGATCACGATATATGACATTCCTATCAGGGTAGATTGGCAAGGGGCCACGAGTGATGGAACAAATGTAACTGGGAAACTCAGTATTCCAGAAGTCTCGCATGAAATCACGCTGGATAAGCTGTCTGACTATGTTGTGCGTTTCCCAATTCTCAACGCGGAGACCATGAAATTGAAGTGTTTTGATCAAAGTACAACTGGACGCTCGACACTGCTTCTAGTCCCGCTGTGAATGCGCTCTTCGCTTTCGTGAGGACGCGTCTTCCACCCGCTCTCGAGGCCAAGTTTGCCGAGTTCCCTGCAGCTCTCATTGATACTCATGGAAAGGACCTTACTGTCAGCGGTGAAGCTAGCCGCACAGGTACACCAGCTCCTTCTATCAGCGCATCTGTTGCGACGGCCGCATCAGCATCTACGACCGTTCCAAAACCTGCCCCGGTCAAAGAGGTTCAAATGAACACGTCCAGTGTGGTCAAGGAAGCGACGTTTATGGCTGCTGCAGATGATCTTTTCGGGCTCTTCACGGACGAAAAGAGAATTCCTTCCTGGACCCGTGCACCGGCTCAGGTAATTCGGGAGCACGTTTGTGAGCTAATTAGGCTGACGTGGTTCCTTTGGTAGTCTGCAGCGCAAGTAGACACTGAGTACTCGTTGTTTGGTGGTGGTGTCAAGGGCAAGTACGTGTCACTGACGCTAGGCAAGGAGATTGTGCAGACTTGGGCTTTGCAAAGTCCTACGTGGCCATCAGGTTGGAGATTTTTCTTGATTCGTATTGTAGTGGAAGCGCCTGAATTTTCATTGTACCAGGGCACTTTGCGACTTTGACAACGACTTTTGAGCAGTCTTCTGATTCGACGAAAGTGAGGTTTACTCTTGATGGTGTGCCGAAAGGCATGGAAGACGAAATTACGAGGAATTTGGAGGGATACTAGTACGTACGCCTCATCCATAGTGCTTTCGTGAATTGACATATGGCTTCTCCAGCATACACGGCCTCAAATCTATTGGGTACGTACAGCTCATACCCTACATCAAACCTTTACCATCTCCCACTCGTTCTCGTACTCGCACTTCTTCCAAACCTACGAGTTCTGCTTCGTCGGCTGCGACGGCTCTAGGGATAGCCGTGGTCATCCTTGTCGCGGCGTTCACCATACCTTACCTCTCAGTGTCCCCGATCACCTTGCGTTCCTCTGCGAAATAACGTTATTTGTATACTGATAATGCCACTTTTGCGTGTTTTGGTTTTGATACAGGTTGGGTACTGTTCTCTGACCGAGTCGCTTCGGGCGATGAAAGGAAAGGAAATGCCATTAAGTGTATCGCAGGTCATATCGGTGATCAAGAAGAAATGCGCGGTGTAGGAGGATTTATAGAGTAGAACCGAACGTGGAATGGTGTATAGAATCGGTAGAAATGGATACATTTCGAGTCTAGTAGCGGTGCCAATACCACGTAAAGTCGGACCCCAGACCCCGAGACCAACAATTTTGGGTCTTCGGTTTGGTTGGCTGTTCTTCGTCTTGACCTTCTCATCGTCGTTTGCACCACCAGCTCATTTTCATACTTTCCCCTCCACCCACTTGACATTTCGAAGCTATGGCTGCTGCCGCTGTCGAGGAAATCCGTGCGACGTCCTATGTCGGTTTTGACTCTATTACGCAGCAGATTGAGCACAAGCTCTTGAAGCGTGGTTTCCAGTTCAACGTCATTGTTGTTGGTGCGTTTGATATGGTTTTGTGGTTGTTAATCTATCTACGAGGCTAAGTGATACGTGTTGGATTTAGGACAAACCGGTCTCGGGAAGTCGACGTTGATCAACACCGTTTTTGCGTCGCACCTTATTGACTCCAAGGGCCGGTTGGAGTCGAACGAGCCTGTTAGGCAGACCACTGAGATTCAAGCCGTCTCACATGGTCAGTTGCGTTTTCAAAGTCGTGTCGAGCAGTGTTCACGCTGTGTTCCCAACAGTTATCGTCGAAAATGGCGTCAAATTGCGCCTCAACATTGTTGACACGCCTGGGTACGGCGACCAAGTCAACAATGAGAACTGGTAGGTTCATTTACGCGTTTTTGTGTAGTGTTATTCATAGGCGTGCAGCTGGGATCCTATTGTGAAGTACATCAAGGACCAGCACAGCGCGTATTTGCGCAAGGAGTTGACGGCCATGCGTGACCGGTATATTCTGGACACGCGTATTCACTGCTGTTTGTACTTCATCAGCCCCACGGGACACTCGCTTCGTGCTATCGACGTTATTGTGATGAAGAAACTGAGCGAGGTTGTGAATGTCGTGCCTGTGATTGCCAAGGCGGACAGCTTGACCTTGGAGGAGAGGGTCGCATTCAAGCAAAAGGTCGGTGGGATCTTATGAACGTTCGTTCATATGCTCACCGAGTTTCAGATTCGCGCAGAGCTGGTGCACCACAACATCCGCTTGTACCCCTTCGACACGGATGAGAATGACGAGGAAGAGATTCAGTTGAACGAGTCAATCAGGGTATGTATATTTGTATTGAAGCTGTATTGATTACTGAGATCCTTTTTAGAGCGTGATTCCCTTCGCTGTCGTCGGCTCTGAGCGGAGTGTGATTATTGACGGGAAGTCAGTTCGGGGTCGCAAGAACCGGTGGGGCGTGGTTAATGTTGAGGATGAGAACCACTGCGAGTTCATGCACCTGCGAAACTTCCTGACAAGGTTTGTGGCGTGCGTTGATATTTTCGGGTCCGGATTCTCACCATGGGATGCTATAGGACACACCTACAAGACCTAATTGAGACTACTGCCCAGATTCACTATGAGGCGTTCCGTTCGAAGCAATTGCTTGCTCTCAAGGAGGGTGTACAGCAAAGACCACCTACCAACCAATAGATTGGTATTCCCCTGGTTGTGATGTGAGTATCACTGGATTTCAGATGAAAATGCTGTATTCTGAAGAATGCACAGGAAAATCCAAATCATGATACCCTGTTGGTTCTGGACTTGCTTCTGCGCTGGTTTGTTTTCGATGGATTTTTTACCTACCTTGTTGCGTATGATCTCAGTTGTCGCCACCACGTTCATTTTCGTCTAACTCTCATACCTTAATATATGGTTTCACTTGATCCTGAAAGGTTCCAAGCTAGTTCCAAGTATAGGTAAGACTCCGTAAGAGTGTTACTGGGGCCGCCGTAGAGTATAATTAGCTGCCCAGGGTTCACAATTGAACACATGGCCCGTCGAAAGACACGACATGATGGAATCAGATGGATGGACTGCCATAAGATTATTACAAACTGGACGGAGGATATGAGACTTTTTGCGAGACAGCGGATCTGAAGGCGTGGCCCGGATGGGTCAGCAATAGTTGTGTCATCAGGAATCACTGAATCAGCACATCGGGCGCTGCTTCGGCATCTTAGCTACGTTATGACTCTCTGACTAAATCTCTTCCTTCCATTAATATTCCCTCCCTCTCTCCCTCCCCCCTTCCTTCTTGTCCAGAGCGTCCATATGGCAAAGCGTCGCTCCAGCCTCGCTGCCTGGTACGACAAGGTAGTCAATTTCAACGTAGAGTCTTTATTCGCCCGTCATCCTGGCCCGGGAGCTCCTCGAACCGTATTCTTTAACCAGAATCTCCCAGATTCGTACTTTGATCACAAGGGAAAGCCAAAGAAAGAACATGTCTACCCCACTAACCAGGTCATCTCATCCAAGTACACAATAATCACATTTCTGCCCAGAAACCTCCTGGAACAGTTCAGGCGAATAGCAAATATGTATGACTCCACTACTAGCACCGCTTCTGACGACTAACCCCTCCTGCAGTTTCTTTGCATTCATAGCTATTCTGCAGTTCTTCCCCGAATTTTCCACCATCTCTCCAGGTCTCGTCATCATACCCATCCTTATCGTGCTCGGCATCACTGCTCTAAAGGATGGCTACGAGGACGTCAAGCGTCACCAGTCAGACCGCCACGTAAACCACTCTCAGGTTCGCGTCCTCGCGGGTGGCGATTGGGTTAACCCGAATATGAACGGCAGAAAAAGCCGGACCTTCGTCAGGGGCATCATCCCGACTAGGCGTCCAAAACGGAAGGATGTAGAGGCGACTACGCAGGACCCTGATATTGAGTATGACCGGGCAGATTCGATGGAGGAGGGTGAACATCATTTGTTTGGGCACAGCGGGGAGAATAACAGGCCCCATTGGAAAAAGACCAAGTGGGAGGACATTCGGGTTGGAGATTTTGTCAAGATCATGGACAATGAGCCTATCCCGGCTGATATCCTCATATGTGCCACCTCGGATGAGGAGAACGTGGCGTTCGTAGAGACGAAGAACCTTGATGGAGAGACGAATCTCAAGTCACGAAACGCATGTCCGGCTCTTACTGATCTTCGCTTTGCTGCCGATTGTGTTTCTAAATCTCATACATTCTCTGTCGAGTGCGATCGGCCGGACACGAACATGTACAGGTTCAATGCCGCAGTCACTCGCAATGGAGAAAAGTTTCCGGTGGACGTCCAGACAGTTCTCCTTCGCGGCACTGTACTGCGGAATACGAACTGGGTCATTGGCGTCGTCCTCTTCACTGGCGTTGACACCAAAATAATCCTGAATTCCGGTGGTACGCCCAGTAAACGGAGCCGAGTGGAGAGGCAGATCAACCCCCAGGTGTAAGTCTTATCCTTATTGGGTCTTTTGCGTATCTGAATGCTCCATTTTCAGCTTGGCGAACTTGGCGATTCTGGCGATGATGGGAGTCGTGTGTGGTATTGCCGATTCCAAGATTGAACAGACGAAATACCCAGAGGGTGCTCCTTGGCTATACGGCGATAACACTTCTAGTGATAACCCGAAGATCAACGGACTGATCACTTGGGCTTTTGCACTGATCACGTTCGTGTTCATGTTCGTCTTCCTTGTCGAAAACTCATCAATGGTAACAGGTTCCAAAACATTGTGCCCATATCCCTGTACATCTCCATAGAGTTTGTGAAGACATGCCAGGCGCTCTTCATCTACTTTGATTACGACATTTTCTACCAAAAGAAGAATCAGCCGACTATTGCCCGGAGTTATAACTTGTCTGATGACCTTGGGCAGATAGAGTACATATTTTCGGACAAGACCGGTACTCTGACACAGGTGCGCTTGCTGTGGCATCTGGGTACTCACCCCTTTAACGTTCTTTGTTTTTTCCTTATAGAATTCTATGGTCTTTAGAGAATGTTCCATAGCAGGAACAGTATATCACGGTGATCCGGAAGAGGAAGAGGATGATGACATCAAGAAATCCACAGGGACCGGTACGGAAATCGTTCGTGAAACCAGCAACGACTCCTCCTATGCCTCGACCTCCGCACGAGGGGACCATCCTACCGTCAAACTTTCCAGCGGTGTCCTCAAACATTTCAAGGACGAGCGCCTCTCCCAAGACCTCGCACGCGCGGTAGAAGCCGAACCAGACTCTGAAAACGCTACCCAGGCGCGCTCGCTTAACGGCTTTTTCTCGGTCTTGGCACTTTGTCATACCGTTCTCACTGCTGTCGATCCTGCGACAGGTGCGATCGAGTACAAAGCACAATCACCTGACGAAGCTGCTCTCGTCCAAGCCGCCGCTGACGTCGGATTCATCTTTCGCGGACGTGAGAAGGAGATTCTGCGTTTACAGACACCTTTCTCGAAAGAGACCGAGCGGTTTGAGCTGCTTAATATTCTAGAGTTCACGAGCGCACGGAAACGGATGAGCATCATTGCCAGGAAACTGGATGATCAAGATGGGAGACTGTTTTTGCTTACGAAAGGCGCGGATAATGTTATTTTTGAGCGGCTCAAGCCTGGTGCAGATGATTTGAAGCGGACGACTGAGGCGCATTTGGAGGATTTTGCGAATGCTGGGTTGAGGACGTTGACTCTGGCATACAAGGTTATTCAGGGTAAGTTGTGTCTTGCTTTTGCTTCCACTTGACTGAAGGGTTCATGCAGATGATGAATACGAGGCCTGGGCTGAGCGCTACCATGAAGCCTCTACTGCTCTGGATGATCGTGAAGGCAAGATTGAGGAAGTCTGTGATGAGATGGAACGCGAGCTGCGACTACTTGGTGCCACTGCCATTGAAGATCGTCTCCAGGATGGTGTGCCAGAAACGATCGCTGATCTCAAGGTCGCTGGAATCAAGGTCTGGGTTGCCACCGGTGACAAGCTCGAGACTGCCATTGGTGCGTATTCATTCTCTTTTCCAGGAGTCTGTCTCACAAGTATTCGCTGCAGCTATCGGCCGCAGCACGAATCTCATCGCTGAGGAGTCCAATATCATCATCATCCGCGGTAGCGACCGCGTTCAACAACAGATGATTCAGGCGGTGGAGGAATTCTTCCCGGAAAGCGGTATACTCGATGAGCACGGCCTTGTCACTTCTGCACCTAAATCGCCATCAGCAGAATCAACTAGAGCCTTCCCCATGCGGCGACTAAGCAGTGGTGTCCGTGATATCGTCGGAGACAATAACGGTGACCGACCTGGGGGATTTGTACTTGTCATCGATGGTGCTGCGCTGGACCACGCCCTTCCTGATGACGACCACAAGGCTCTTCTTCTCCGTCTTGCTACCCAATGCGAGGGCGTCATCTGTTGCCGTGTCTCCCCACTGCAGAAAGCGCTTGTGGTGAAGATGGTCAAAGATGGTCTTGGCGTGATGACCCTTGCCATTGGTGATGGCGCGAACGATGTCAGCATGATTCAGGCTGCGGACGTTGGTGTCGGCATTAATGGTGAGGAGGGTCTGCAGGCTGTCAACTCGTCAGACTATGCTATTGCACAGGTGCGTGATTCGGGCTTGGTTTTAGCTACGTCGCTCATACTAGAACAGTTCCGGTTCCTCAAGAAATTGCTTCTTGTTCATGGTCACTGGTCTTACGCTCGTAACGGAATTATGTCAGTCCGTTCGTGTTTGAGCTTGAAGTCAGAGCTGATGCTTTTAAATATAGGATTGTCAACTTTTTCTATAAGAACATTGTGTGTATTGGCGTTTTGTGGTGGTTCCAGATTTATTGTGGATGGAGTTCGGCTTAGTGAGTTTATGCACTCGTGTCAATCTTGCTTAGTTGCTGACTTTTTCCTGCAGCGCATTCGAGTATACTTACCTGTTGTTCTGGAACTCATTTTGGACGATTGCTCCTGTTCTCGGGATCGGTCTGTTTGACCGGATAGTTGGTAAGATCACATCACTAGAGATATGAGTTCGGGGTTTCTTATCAGTTGTACAGATGCCGATGTTCTGATGGCCTTCCCGGAACTTTATCGCTATGGTCGCGAACGGACGTGGTTCTCTATGAAATCATTCATTATCTACATGCTTGATGGAGTCGTACAGGTACGAGGCATCTTTCTTCGGGTTTATCGGCCTTCTGACATCCATCCAGTCTGTCTCGATATACTTTATCATCACCTACACCTACCTCACGACTACTACCCGTACTGATGGATACGGTATAGCGTTGTATGAGTATTCGACGGTAAGTTCTATTAATCTGACTGGTGTCTTGTTGTTGACGACAGTCCTCTCAGACCATGGTTTTTGCCACCGTCATCGTTGTCAGCCTGTTCAATGGCTTGAACACGAATGTCTGGACTGCCTGGGTCTTCTTTGCTGTCTTCATCGGTATCATTATTCTCTGGTTATTCACGGCGAGTTGCCTAGCGCTCTCCTTATCGTCTGCGAGACTGACATCTCCACCAGGTTATCTACGACGCAATCAGCCCGGGATGGATAGTAACCAACGTCTACGGCAACAATCACTACTTGTTTGCATCGGCTTATTTCTGGCTGTGTCAACCCCTTGTCATCGCCATTGCTCTTCTTCCACGATACCTCTATCGCTCGTGGCAATTGGGATACGCACCCGGCGACCTAGAGGTGCTACGCTACATCCGGAAAACACAGCCTGATCTTGACATGGCGACGCTACGCAGTGAATCGGAGCGCTCGAGACCATATGCGTCTTCAAGACGACGCCCGTCCTCACGCTTGTCACGAGCATCGATTGCTTGTTCCAGCACAGAGTCATTTGATTTACGGAGAACGCAAGATCCGCGCTGTGCGAGCCGAACTGACATGTCCACTGGCATACGCTCCGTGCACCGCGGGTTTGACTTTGCGACGGAAGAAGGTGGCGTTGCAATGCGACGCATGCAGACCAATCTGTCGGAGCGGAGACAGAGTAGCCGCAATCTGCCTTCACTAGGGCAGGTCTCACCGAAGCGCAGTATACGGTTATTCTCCTCTCTCCGCCGCAAAAAGTCGTCGCAGCCTACTCTTAAGAAGGAAGATTGATGATGCTTTTTGATTTGCATGCCATGATTTACTTTTTCTACATTATTCATCGCATTGTGCTCATCACTTCCCCACTCCATGTGCACGGCCATACTCATTGTATTCCTCTCCCACCTATTTATCATATCGGGCTATCTACTAGTAACACCTGAACGACACATCCTGATGCACGAATATCAGAATTGATAATACACGGCTTAATTTCTGAAAACTCGGTCGTAAATGAAATAATAAAGATAGGGCAAAAAAACAAGATAACAAGGGACCACAACGTTAGGTACTTCAAAGTTCGGGACTGTCGCTGTGCTGCGAGAACTTGAGCTTCTTCCTGGGGCTTGGGGTGGAAATGATGACTTCAGCGATGAGCTTGCGTTTCTTGGGTGAACGTGGGGGAGTTGATGGTTCGATAACGGGCACGCGGCTCGGTGTTGGAGTGTATGCGGAGGATCGTGAGCGAGTAGAGGGTCTGGCGGAAGTTCCTTCATCTTGGACGTCGTCCATGCACACAGGTATTCGTACAATGGGCAGAGCATCAGCGTCATCCTCAGATTCGCACATGTGCTGCACCTCCTTTTCTTCGGTGTCAGATTCGGCAATATCCTTGGCTTTGCCTCGCCGCTTCTTCGTGCTTCCCTTTGACTTCCCCTTCTTCCCCGTCTTGTGCTCATCCCCTTTGCCCTGCTCGTGAACTGAACACAATTCCACTGCTATTCCAGCTCGGAGAAGGACATCGATCCAGAGCTATGTATAACGTTCATGAAAGTTAGATTGGACACATGCACAGAAGCTTGTTGACAACGACCTTTTGGTTTTCCTGGAGACTATCCCCTGGACCCTTGACTTCGACAAACTTACATTTTCCTGTCTCTGCATTCCACACAAAGAGATCTGGCCCGCCGGAGCTGCGCCCAGCGTAGTCTTCACAAAGAAGATGGCATATCACAGACAGCGCTGTCCCGCCAAGACACTACAAATGCGTCAGTTACGAGCATACTTAAAACGAAGTTTGCACTCACACGAACTATTTGTACGATTTCCCCTTCCTCTAGTAAATCCCAATCTACACCTACGCACCACGTCTTGCGCGCTCTATGCTCTGCTTCTACTCGTTTCACGATTTCCTCTCCTCGTCCATCCTCGAGTTCCTTGAGCCTTGCTTCGATGGCATCTCGTCGAGCATGATAAAATGAGTCTTCTGCAATGTCCAACGGTGCAGTCTGGAAAGGGGTCTCGAAGGCACCGGGGATAGGGAGGAAGATGATATCCCAGAAGAGGATACCGAAGAGGGTAGCGATGATCCTAGTTTCAGAGTATATGCTACAAAATTGGGTATTCATGCGAATGTAAAGGGAGAAATGCGAGATAGACATACCCTTTGAACCCCTGGTCCTCGTACCATTGTAGTGCGAGCGTCTCAACATTTACTTCTAGGTCACCTCGTCCGACCCAGATGGACTTTCCTTTCTCCTCTCTCCGTTCCACGGTCTAGGGACAAGTGAATTTCTGGCTTCTCATCAAGAACACAAGAACTCACTTTCTCGACTTTTACCGAGATAGGTGTCTCATCTACTTTCGTAGCGCCAGGTTTCGTTGGCGACAAAAATTTTGTGATGTCTCCTGCCTGAGCAATAGAAGCTTTGGCAATGTTTCGCCCATTACGGTCGAGTTTTAAACTCGCTGCACGGTGGCGCACGCGCACTCCTTCGAAGGAGACCCACTCAGGAGGTTGGAGGTTCCATTCGCTCGTATGCCGATCTGCAGGGTCGACTTTGAGCTTTTTCTCGAGGGCTGTCAAGCGGCGGTCAAGTTTGGGACGAAAGACTATCCAGTCATCAGCCAGGACACAACAGCTATTTCTAGATCTCGACCAACCAATATGCGTATCATCGTCTTTTAGAGCTTCAACACATGCGTCAAGCGCGTCATCATTTCTCGCTGCGTACTTCTCTAGGATCAGGGCCCGGCGCTCGTGCCACCTCCCCCGTCGTCCGCGACGCCACCGCTTCTGCGCAAGGAGGGACTCGAGGACTCTGAGTTCATATTCGTATTCCCCGAGGATACCGAGCGCATGCGCGCCTTTACCAACGAGGCGAGTTAGGACGTACCCTACAAAATATGTTAAGCAAGTGGGTACATATGGTGGATGGAATATTCCTACCGCTTTCAAACCTCTCCAATCCATACCCCCTCTCCTTCCCTTCAAGCCCACCTTCGCTTTTCATCTTCACGAGATCCTGCCACTGCGGGTACACCTCCTCAAAGATCTCCTTCGCTATTCGCGCCCCACGCACACGCACAGAGTCTGCTTTCTCAGTCTTGACAAACACACCAGATCTGGGTGGCTTGCCATTGCCATTTGAAGCAGGTGATGCAAAGGCGTTTGACACAGGGGTTTGCACAGTCTTCGCGGACATTGGTGTCTGCGGTACTCCGGGTGCAGTACTTGGTGTTATTGGCGTCTTGAATCGAGGTCCATCTGCAGCTGGAGTCTTGAATTCCCTATCGGCTCCCACTGCTGCAAAGTTCCCGGCAAACACGGCATCTACAATTTCTTCTTGCTCGAGCGCTCGTTCGTAAGCGAGAAGTGCTTCGCGTGTAGGCCAGATGTCCTTCGTACGTGTAAAGGCTATGCTTGCATAGGAGCGCTTCTTAAACCGTGAGAGCAGGGCGGGCAGAAGAAGACCCTGGGAGGATTGAGTCCTACATTATAGGTTAGATTGTGGTGCAGAGAAGGCGCGAAAAAGTGCAGAGGGAGAAGATGAGACGCACAGCCTGAAATAAATTATGTTTGCCCGTCTTACGAACCGGCAAAAGCCTTCATGTACACGCACACACTTGCCGAGTGTGCGGATAACAATATCGCGTAGTCGTTTCTGGGTTGTCTCGCGACCGAAAGGAAGGGAGGTTTGTCGGAAAACAGCTGTTGATGTGACCATTGTAGACATTTTGGATGTCGATCGAATCTTGGACGTCGTCGTAGCACAGGCGAATGATGATACTAGTGTTGACTGTGTACAGGAACCTCTTAGAAGGGCGTATATAATATCGGGCTGTATTTGCGAAGATTCACAAAATCAGGACTGAAGGTGACAAGGACTACGAGGACGCACTTTTGAACCACCCTTGAAACGCATCTGCTTCGCGATGCAACGTAGCTCGTCGACTTTGAGGCACTCAAGGAGGGCAGGAAGGTCCATTTGAGACTCGTCTTCTGCTAGAATGCCTTCAGGCTCTGGGAGTGTATCAACATGGTTAGTGAACTTGGTATCGGCCATAGGAAGGTCTTCGAGTTTTATAGAAGAGGGACCAGCAATAGCATTTGCAGCAGAGAGCGTTGCATCCAAAGGTATTGAGACTTCCTCAGTGTTGTTAGTGGATGGAGCGGGTGGTGATGGCTGGTGCAAGTGCGGTACAGGTATTTCCTGAGGTTGTAAAATATGTGAAGGTAGGGAAGGTGGTGGGTAGACATCGTCGTCGAGCGTGAGGTCTATTATTTCCCTCTCTTCTACAGCCATCTTGGTATCCCCTTCGTTTATAACGTCGACTTTCACTTGACCTGGTACAAAGCATATCTCGTCGATAGCTTGAATAAGTCCTTCTTTGCTCCCTATTTCTGCCTCATATTTCAGCGAGTCAAGACGGTGCCATGCATTGAATTTTCGCAGGAGAAGCTTCGTGATAAGAAATTTTGCACTTGCTATGTACCACTGAGTTTAGCTCGAAAGGTTATGATGTAAACATACGCGAAAGTCTGTCATATCTCTGGAAGTAATCGAGTTCTGAAATGTCGAATAAATGCGCCTCAGTCTCTATCAAAGTCCTGAGCATGTCTGAGTGTACGCGTGTTCAACATCCTCGAGAATGCAATATTGATACAGGACACACCTTCAAAAAGATCAACGTATGCATTTGATTTCTTGTCAGATGCATCTCCTGTCTCCCGAATCTGATCGTAGTTCTCCGCAAGGCGCTCGCCTTCGCGTGTTTGAGTTTCGTATGGAGAGTCACTTCCAAATCCGCCACCGGAGAATATGAGTGTACCAACTGAGGCCGCGTTTGGTGAGCTTGGGCTCATTGTCGGGGTTAAGTAGTACTAGTCTTGATGGGAACGTGTTCTCATGGCGCAGGCGCAAGTGCATCGCGATCACGTGGGTTTCATTTGCCTTATTTTTCCAAATTAGGAAGGTCTACATACGAGTGATGTTCTGTTCTTATTTTGCCATGCATGTCCGAGACCGTAACATCGATTGATGTGGTCCACCTCTTTCTCTACGACACGGAACGCACACGACTCCCATTACCCGTTCCCAAAACAACGTTGGGAACGAGACTACCACTTTGTAAGAATCGGGAAGTTTTCAACGTTGTCAACAGTCACGCCAGACTCGGGAACGTGGTGTACATGTTATGTGCATCTGACAATCAAAACGTTTTGTTCGTTCGTACTATCTCCTTCAAACAAGTTGTTTTCCGTTGGATGCACTTCCACGGGGTTCATCAAATCCCGAATTTTATGGATCACGGTAGATCTTCGCTCAGACTCCATGGGGACTTCTAGTACTACTTTTCATTTTTGCCGCTCTGAATCCCCCCGACCGCAGATCGTTCTTGGCTCGTGTACCAAAAGAATTCCCCGTGTGTCGGAAGGATCGTGCACGTTATCTGTCGACTTGCCGCCAAAAGCTTTCTTCCAGATGTTACTATCCCTGATTTTCTGGCACAGTATATCTGCGCCCAAATACCTCAAAGCCTCACGTCCGAGTCCGAGTCGAGACAAACATGGAAGTCACGTCACAAACACATACAAGGCAATAGGACTCCATGCACCCGAACCAACCTGTTTATCCAATGCTCACATCAACATCGAGCTCGAAGAGGATTGACTGATGAAAATGTCGTCCTAGTACGAAAAATGACGGCATTTTCATTACCAGTCTACATATTTAACAACAGAACAGAGCTCGCAGAGGTGCACGGAGTCCTTATCTGGGCTCGGATGTTGTGACATCCCTGCTGCAAAGCATATAATAATCATTGTGTTCGGCAGCTGCCTTCCTCAGAACCATCAATCGAATTCACTCCAAGTGGCAGGCTCATAGCTCATCTTATCATGTCTGTCCCGCTTACCGGTAATTACAAGATCTGCAATGTCCATTATGACTCGAATCAGGTGTTTGACTTGCAAGTTGGAGGTCACAACCCTGTCCTTCCTATTATCGGTCGCCGTAACGCGAAATTCAAGAGTTCCCAGACCGAAATCTTTGTCAATGTCAATTCCTTGACTCAGAGGATGCAGGCTAACGATCACCACAGTGGACATTACAAGTGGTGGGCGATGCGTCTCCGGAGTTCAAGGGATATAAGGTCGTCAGATTGATCAACGTCAAAACCGGCACATATGCCCAGCCAAAGGAGGAGACGCCGAGCATCGTAAGTAGTGGAGCTTTGCGCCAAAGAACCCTTTTGACATCTTCACATATGCCAGGGCGAACATGTCGTCGGTGCCCCCGGGATCGTGGATTGGTTGCTTGCCCCGACCAAGACCATTGGACAGTACTCGTAAGTAATCCGACTGAAGGCTGCATCGCATTGTTGTACAAGTTAATCATGTACGCCCAGGATTCAAACCCCTGACGGAGAATTTGCCTGTGCCCTTCTCAGCCGCATGGATTACACTCCGGTATGCACTCACCACGTTCTAGAAGACGGTACTCACGGTATCTGCAGGTCCAGCTCGAGCCCGTTGATGACGAGGACCCTACGCAGATCTGGAAGTTTTGCCCTATCTAAATGATTGAGACAACGGCTCAAGCTGGCGAACAACGTACTCAGTGGATTTCCGTGTTGTACGGCTTTAGTTGGTTATTGAGGCCGTGTCTCGAGGGGGTGCGGTGTCTTCGGGAGTTAACAGGGCTGTGCTTGATTTATCTACTAGTTCTTGAATAAAACCGTCGGTCGTGTAAATCCAGTGTCGATGGATACCGTTCATTCTCATCATGCGTTGGGTCGTATGACGCTGTCACGTATAATTATTGGTTCAGACGTAGGAGCCGATTGAAGCGCAATCAATGGATTGGAAAGAATTCGGGTACAAGTAAGGATCATACAACATTCTACTGGCTACACTAGTGTATTGCAGAGGGGTATTATGTCGAAATCAATCATTCACACCAATACACCGGTCCATCTCCCAAAAAATCACAGGGGTACTCAGTACCCTCTTCTAAGCCTACTATTTTCTTCCCGCAACCTCTCATTCTCCTCCCTCAACTTTTTCACCTCCCCGCCCCACTCTTCCATCTCCTGCCTCAGCCCCCGTCCCATTCGCAGCATGTCAACATGCAGTGCTTTCATGTCAGCGTGACTTTTGGCCTGCATGTCCGCAATGAGCCCCCGGAAGAGCTCGTACGCACCGCTTGCACTAGAATGCATAGGGAAAGTACTTGGGGTTGGCACGAGTGGCGACGGAACCCAGGTCGGTGCCGTGTGGCGGCGGGGGGAAACTTGCATCGAGAGCTCGCGCTCACGGGCCATTTGCGCCTCTTCTTCATCTTCTTCCACGGCCTCTAACTCTTCGCATCTTTCAGCATTGTTCGCATCCAAATTCACCTCTTTCTCTTTCCCTTTATTCGTGCTTCCCCTGGACTTTGCGGTACCAATAACACCAAGGCCTGTGCTCCCTGTCTCTGCCCTCGTCCTCCCTGTACTGGTTCTTACCCTTGGTTTCTGGGCTTCAACTATTCCTGCCGACTGTCTCTTCATGTCGGAAACAGGTGTTGCTGGGTCCATCAGCAAATCCGGAGACGACAGGTCTGTGTGCGTATTATCGTCCTCATTAGCAGGCGTCTTTGAGCGAGTGCTGTCCCTCGTCTTGGACGAAGAAATCGATATCGTCGACGGGGCACGCCTCAAGGAAGACCCCCCAGTTTTCGTGCCCACACTTAGGTTCGATGAGGTTCTCGTAATCTCAGAACGGGCAGACGATCCGGAAGCAACCCTCGTCTCTCTCGTTTTATCTCTGCGCAAGGAAGCCAGTCTACTGGAGATCGATTCACCAGGGTGCACGTGACTACCCAAAAGCACTGCCTTTTGGGAAGATGCGGCGCGTGCGCTCGGTCGCATTGGGGTGTCACTTGCATCATCAAAGATGTTTTCCCGCGATGTAGACACCCTAGTGCGCAGTACGCCAGTTGCTGGTTTTGAGACACATGTTAGCGCTATCTACATGGATGCTGCACAAAGGGTGACCCACTAGAACTGTCGGTGCCTCTGCCACCGCGCGGTGATATGGGATTCCTCAATGGCGAGAAAGCACCTCGGTTTGAGACGCGCCTAGTTGGCGTACTGGTCTCTAGAGCATCCTGCTTCTTGGGTGTCCCAGTAATGGCCGTCGTGATTGACGACTTTCTCGGCACGGCAGCTGTAACAGGTCGGAGGGGAGAACGAACGTTCGAGGCTGCTTTGGCGCGAGCACGTGCAGGAGAAGAGGTTGCTGATGCATTGGAAATACTTGGTTTCACAGAAGACGCAGAGGCTCTTAATCTTTTCTATGTATCTCGTCAGATTGCGAATGCTAGATGATATATCGAATGGTGTGGCAAAGATACGTACCTGAACAGCGAGACATACTACTCCTTGTCCAGCCTCACCCACAAAAACTCTCTTCATCTCCTTGTCCAGTTCCCTGAGATTGAGAATCCTCAGACCGTCTCGCATCCCGAGGTAGATAGCTGCACCCTCGGGTGTAAATGTGATCGAGGTGATGGTTTCCGGGGAAATGATCGTCTTGAATAGCCTATGACCAGGAAGTCAATGCGTAATGGAATTGAATATATGTATACGTACCCCTTATCCTTATCCAAATCAACAAGGCCGACACTATCTGCGCTTGCAACAGCAACCAGCGTCTTGCTAAATGGGCTACACGCAATGCCCACTACGTCTTGTCCTACGCTAATGGGTCTCACGGGAGCGGAGGGCTTGCTCGCGTCGTAAACCAGTACATCACGCCCGAAACCAAGAAGCAGACGGGTACGAACATGAGAATGGAATGACACGGTGCTCACAGACCTTGCAGCACTTGTGGGGAGGGGGAGAGATATATGTTTGGCAGGAACGAGTAGGTCGTGAATATGCACGCCCTTTGAAGAGGCAGAAGCAATGAGCGTGCTGTCGTTTGATACAGCCAACGCAGTGACCGCCGTTCCATGGGTTTCGAACGTCTTGTACAGTTTTGCTGATCCGGTTGCATACTCCAGCACTATCACCTTCCTCCCGACGCCCAATACTACATTTCCGGACGGAGTGACGGCCATAGCAGTGATCTCTCCTTCCTCCTTGGATTGCACATATGTGGCCTCATCCAATCGGCTTTGCGAGATTATGAAACGATCGATGCCAAAGGGAGAGGCAAGATAGAGAGATGAGTTATCGGGGGACCATGCTGATGCAAAATATCGAGATGGAAGAGGCTGGCTTATTGGAAGGAAAGGCGGAGGATTCTTAAGGGTGACAGGAGAAGCCAGCGCGAGGGCTGTCGTGGTGACCAAGGCAAGCATGTTAGTCTTATAAAACTAATACTGACTGATTTTCAAGGAGTGGTTGACTGTGGATGAATGAGTGGTTGTCCTGTTAAGACCAGTGGGATGAAGAAAAGGGATAGTCTATAGATCGAACAAGTTCCACAGCGCGTGAATCGAGACGCGTCAATCACGTGATGCAAAATTTACGCGCGTCTGAGTCAGATCTCACTCTGAGCAGTGAGTACTAGTGAGTAGCTGCCCAAAGTTGCCATTACCCATATCACTATACTTTTTCAGCACTCTCGCTATGAGAGGCTAATCCCTTACACACCAGTCCCCACATCTGCAGGGTCATACGAATACCCTCAATCTTCACACGCTTTCTGTTCCACGGAAAATCAATCATAGTTTGATTCTATCAGCTGCGCTATAATGACACGCTTCATAACCCCCGAACTAGCGAGACGACGGTCGAAAGCTTAACCCAGTTTTCGTCGCGCTCCGTCGCCTGTTCATGAACTACGCACAGAGCCCTTTCGGGCATTGTTTCCCGGTACACTAAGTCCACATGGAAGGTAGAGTAGGATTCGTGAATTTCACAACGACGCGACACTAAGCCAATTCGAGTCAAACCTATCAGGCAAGCGGAGATACGCTTGGTTGTGATTGAAGCACTGCGTGGAAACTTTCAATCATCATTGTGGTGGAACAGGAGCTACGCTGCAGTGCTTGTACGTCACGGCAATCAAACCCAAGAAAACCGTAAACCCAATGCTCACAAAACAGCATTTCCAATGCCTGACATGGCGCATCAACGAATCGACGCTTGGAGCCCACTAGTATCTGATCTCCGACATCAGAGCCACGATGGTGACCGGACGGACTACTAGGACTTTGCTAGTGCAAGATCTACAGATTAGCTCCCGTGCTAACGTATTGCAGGTATGTGTTTCACGCTATTAGTCGCTCTGATGACTTACGATAGACTAGTGATCTGCTAATGATCCATGCGGTGTATGCTGCGATGAAATGGGCGACCTATCACCGCCACTATCTAGTACAAGATTCTTTAATATCATCGCAGTACTGCTTTCTGGCGTCGAAGTATATAAGTCTAAGGAAGTTGGCAATCAAAACATCCCAGCAACATTTTCCAACCTTCATTCACCTTTAGAATTTAGACACTTCGCATTAATGGCACACATCGCAGTCACCACCACCACCACCACCACTACCGCTGGATTCGTTACATCCCCCAGGACATCTATTGTCCCTGAACAGCCCAATACTCTCCACGACGTCATCGCTCAAGCTGTTGACAGCTATCCGTTGCACGAGCTTGGTTTCATAACTTCCTCGGCACATGACTCCTCCATTCAGACGAAGACCTTCAGCGCATTCAACCAATATGTTCGCAACCTTGCACGTGCCATGCTAGAGTGGGGCAAACCCACAGGCTCAGTCGTCGTCGTGTACCTGACGGAGCACGAAGATAATATGACTGCTGTTTGGGCGTGTCTGTTGGCTGGCTTTGTGCCCTGCTTACAGCCCGCACTTAGCGCGCAACAAGCGCACAAGGAGGGCCATGTCGCTCACATCAAGAACTTGTTTGGGTCTGCTACTTGGCTGACCAGCGAGCTTGGGGCTGAACAGATCAACTCCATTTCTGGTCTGGAGGTTCACCTGCTCTCCGAATTAAAATCGTCGGCGGAGAAATTTACCGTCGCAGCTGACTGGGTTGCATACGAGGCTAAGCCGGACGACGAGGCCATCCTGTTCCTGACTTCAGGGTCAACTGGATTCTCGAAGGCGGTTGTGCACACGCACCGTACCATCCTTGCTGCATGCCGCGCCAAGGGGCAAAGCTACGGCCTGACTTCCGAATCTCAAGTCTTGAACTGTAAGACGCACGTCATCTAAATAAGCTTTTTGAAATTAATCATGACATTCAGGGGTCGGATTTGATCACGTCGCGGGATCATTGGAAATGCACATCACACCTCTGCTATACGGTGCTTCGCAACTCCACGTGCATGCATCTGCTATCCTCGCCGATCCTCTCCGGCTTCTCCGTCTGATCGACGAAAAGGTATGTTGACATTCCATCATAACATAACGTTCTCCTCATCATTATATTTAGTCGATTGAACTGGCTTTCGCCCCGAACTTCCTGCTCTCTAAGCTCACCCGTGATCTAGAGAAGCGCACCGACCTCTTCGGAAGCTTCGACCTTTCCTCCATCAAGCGCATTAACAGCGGAGGTGAAGCCGTGGTTTCCAAGACAGCGCAAGCGTTCGCTGCTACGATGAAGCAGCTTAGCAAGAACCCCTCTGCGGTGTCCTTTGTGATCTCCGCTGGATTTGGAATGACAGAAACATGGTCAGGATATTCTAATAATATTGATACCTCAGCTGACGGGCTGTTGCAGCGCTGGATGCATTTACGACCCTGTCGATGTCCTCAAAAACAAGCCTGCTCACGAGTTCCTTGATCTCGGTCGTCCTATCAATGGTTGTGAGATGCGCATCGTTGACCCTGAAGATGGCGCTACCCTGCGCCCCGACGGGGAAAGCGGCGAGCTTCAGGTTCGCGGACCGATGGTCTTCGTCCGCTACTACAACAATGCAGAGGCTACGTCCTCTAGCTTTGTTGAGGGCGGCTGGTACCGCACCGGAGACGTTGGCATCATCGAGAATGGTGTCATGCGCCTTAGCGGTCGTATCAAAGATACCGTCATAGTCCATGGTGTCTCATATGGTATCCCTGAGCTCGAGACCTACCTCCAGACCGTTGAAGGGGTCACACACTCGTTCCTCGCCGCTGCTCCGTACCGCGCTCCTGGACAGGAGACCGAAGGATTCATTATTTTCTACTCACCAACGTTCGACCTCAACGGAGCAGACGCCTCCACCAAGCTCTTTGCCACGCACCGCGCCCTGCGCGATATTTGTGTGAAGATGATCACCCTGCCACCTCAGTTTGTCGTCCCCATCCCTGTGAACCAGATGGAGAAGACCACTCTCGGCAAGCTTTCTCGTGCACGTCTCATCAGTCTCTTCAAGCAAGGCCAGCTTGCTCAGCACATCGCCCGCTCTGAGGAGCTCCTCAGCGAGGCGCGAGGCGCTACCTTCGTTGCCCCGTCTACCGAGACAGAAAAGGCGCTTGCCAAGATATATGCGGGCATCTTCAACCTCGCAGAGAGCGAGATGTCGGCGAGCGACAACTTCTTCGAACTCGGCGGGACTTCCATTGATGTCATCAGGTGAATATATCTGTCCCCGCCGTACAACGACCTTTACTAATATATATAATCTCCAGACTCAAGCGTGAAGGAGAGGCACACTTCGGCCTCCCTGAGATCCCTACCATCCAAATCCTCAAGCACCCCGTTGTCTCCAGCCTCGCCAACTATGTGAACGCCTTGCTCTCCAAGGATAGCCAGGCTGAGGAGTACGACCCCATCGTTCCCCTCCAACTCACCGGCAACAAGACTCCCATCTTCTTCGTTCACCCTGGTGTCGGAGAGGTTCTCATTTTCGTCAATCTTGCCAAATACTTCCAAAATGAACGTCCGTTCTACGCACTCCGTGCACGTGGCTTTGAGCCCGGACACCCCTTCTTTACCTCTATGGACGAGATGGTGTCTTGCTATGCCGCAGCAGTCAAGAGGACTCAGGCGACGGGACCATACGCCATCGCGGGGTACAGTTACGGCGGTGTTGTCGCATTTGAAGTCGCCAAGAGGCTCGAGGCCATGGGTGACGAAGTCAAATTCACCGGCCTCATCAACATTCCTCCTCATATCGCCGACCGCATGCACGAGATCGACTGGACGGGCGGCATGCTCAACTTGTCGTACTTCCTCGGTCTTGTGTCGAAGCACGACGCCAATGATCTTGCACCTGCTCTGAGGCCAATGACGAGGACGGAGCAGCTCGAGGTGGTGTGGAAGTTGTCTCCCGCTGAACGTCTGGTCGAGCTGCAGTTGACTCCCGGGAAGCTCGACCACTGGGTTGACATTGCCGGGTCTCTGATTGAGTGTGGAAAGGACTACAACCCATCAGGCTCAGTTTGTAAGTTCTTCATTTTCTGACTTCGGCACCTCTTGTTGACATGTCACCTCCTCTCTTCAGCCGCAGTCGACGTTTTCTATGCTATTCCCCTCCGTGGCAGCAAGGCTGACTGGCTGAACAACCAGCTCAAGCCATGGTCTGGCTTCAGCCGTGGCGAGGCATCATATACTGATGTGCCTGGGCAACACTACACGCTCATGGACTTTGACCACGTCCCGCAGTTCCAAAAGATCTTCCGCGGCCGTCTCGAGGCTCGTGGCTTGTAGAAGTTATATCGACATAATGTGGTTAGATATTTATCTTGCGTCGATGATCGATGATTCCCAGGTATCTATTCAGCTATGCTCGGAATACATATGTTTCATATCTAATTCGCTCGACTAATTACATCGCCATGCATATATTGTTGTCTCATGACAAAAGTACATATTAGAAATGATTTTGATTGTCCTTGTGACTTCACCGTTTGGAGTGACATCATGGACATGAACGTTGCGGTTGATTTGTATCCTTCCATGCCTTACCACGCACCGAGGCCATTATTCTTACTGCAACTTAGGAACACGTCTGGAATCTTTGCGTGCTGATTTATTTCAATCCAGATAACAAGTGATTTAATGTTTTACAAGTGCATAAGAAAAATTGGACCCTGGCTATTGGATGGAAATGGCGTGCCACACAAGAGTCTTGGGGTCAGTTGTTTCTTGCGGGGCTTTGTTTTTTCTGCAGGACAGCTGGTATGCCCTAAGTAGGGTAGGATGCGTCGAGTATCTCGAATCTATATACAAAAGTTCGATTTCCTGTTGTAAGTTAATATACAATGTAACATAAGTGCCTTCTAGATATCATTCCGAGTTCATGCGGGTATCGATGAAAACACGTCCGAGGCTCCCTTTAATCCATGCAACTACAATATCTCTAGCGTCCTGATGTCCATCATGTCATGAACAGCAGCCATGTTCTTGACCCGTGCCATGATATTGATATCAGATACAATTCTTTTGTATTCCCCACCACGCTGCTTTGCTAGGAAAAGCGCGCCAAAAGGCTGTCCAAGGCGGACGATCAACCTTAGCTTTCGTGACTGAGAGTCCATATCAGCGGGCT